TTGTCCCCTACTTGACGTCCCTGGACAAAGCCCGCTTGCTCCTCCGAGACAAGGTCAGCTAGGATTGGTTTAATTCTAGAAGCGAGGAGTTTGGCATACAGTTTGGTGTCTGCGTTCAGAAGGGAGATCGGGCGTAGGTTTGCACAGTGTGTGGGGGGTTTATTGGGTTTGGGTAGCGTCACTATATGTGCCTCCAGCATTTCCGTGGGCATAGTCCCTGCATTTTTTATGTGATTAAATAGGTTGGTGAGAGGCGTGAGTAGTTGTTTGGTCAGTTTTATGTAGTAGTAGTTGGATATCCCGTCTGGTCCTGGGGCCTTATGTTTGGGAAGGGATTTGATTGCTGTTTCTACTTCCTCCTCCGTGAAGGGGTTCTCTAATTGGGTTTGTTGTGCTTGTGTTAGGCTGGCTAGGGGCGCTCTATCCAGAAAACGTGCTATCTCGTCTTCCGTCGGTTGATGTGTGTAGGGATCTTTTTCTAATTGGTATAATGAGGCATAGTATTTCGCTAGTTCGTTCACTATGTCTTGGGGGTTGTATAATTTATCCCCAGTTGTGGAGGTTATATACGGGATTTTAGATTGCAGTTTGGTTTGTTTCGCTTTGTTGGCCAGCATTCTCCCAGCTTTGTTACCCATGACATAGTGTGATTGCTTCAAAAACCTCAAGTGTCGTTCTGTTACAGCGAGGTTTAGGCTATGTAGTGTTGTACGAAGCGACATCAGTCGCTTATGTGTTGCCGTAGTGGGGTTTGTTTTATGGGTGGATTCTACTGTGGCCAGGTCTTTCTCTACCTTGTCCAGTGTTGTGTTGTGCAGCCTCTTTGTCCTAGCCCCTATCTGGATTAGTTCTCCCCTCATGACCGCCTTATGGGCCAGCCATTTTGTGGTGTCGGATGACGAGCAGTCAACGTGGTCAGCGAAAAATTCCGCAGCCCGGATCTGTAGTCGTTGAAGATGTGCTGGTACGTCTAATAGACCTTCATTCAGGCGCCATGTGCCTCTACCCCTAGCTGGGTACGGGATTCGCATAGTGACAACGTACGGGGCATGGTCAGACCACGTGATCGGCCCAATATGAGCCTTAATGGCGAAGGGCAATGTTTTGGTGTCGAGTAGACAAAGGTCAATTCTCGTGTAGGTCCTATGGACCGACGAGTAGTACGTGTAGTCCCTCCCACTCGGGTGCAAGCCTCTCCACGTGTCATAGAAGTCATGCCCGTGCAATAATTTCCTAAAGTGTTGGCCTAGTGAGATTGAATGTTGTTGTGGTAATTTGTTCCCCTCACGTTTTATATCGACATCGGGATCTGGAACGCAATTAAAGTCCCCGCATATAATTGTATGGCCCACTCTGAGCTTGTCAATTATCCTAAACACTGTGCTGAGAAAGGTTTTTTGCTTATCATTCGGCGCATATATGGAAGCTATAGTCACCGATAAACCATTTAAGGAGCCCACTAATATCAGTATTCTCCCGTCTCGACTGGCAAATTGGTTGGATGGTGTGAATGCCCAATCCCTATGGAAATAGATAGCAACTCCTTTAGCTTTAGTGTCTGACATGGCGTGGTATCCCTGGGGATACTGTTTGACAGTGAGTTTGGGGTGTTTCCTAATGCAGAAGTGTGTCTCTTGGAGACCTATAATCGCTGCCTTGGACTTGGTCATTTCCTGTACTGCTAGCCTCCTTTTGTGTGGGCTATTGAGACCCTTAACGTTTAAGGTGAGGATCGCCAAAGAGTCAACCATGATCCAGGTGTAGTGTTCTACTATGCTGGGGCCGTGGGATGACATTCGCTGCTTGCGACATGCGGTGTGCTGCTGGTCCGGGACCGAAAGGGAAAACGTGGGGACAGTGGACACAAATACAGGGAGGGAGAAAAAAATAACTAAAGTATGTACAAAGCGCCATATGGAGAACTAGCGCTCTACGTGGGTGAGGTGTGAGCGGGCAAATTTTATCCATCTCACGTCTCATCCTGGGGGCGCACCTGGGTGGTGCAGCCGAGTGCGTGACAGCTTTTCTCTAGGTATACTTATTCCTACCCCACAATACGTCTGAGATGTCCACCAGGGCCCACCATTTTGTCATAACCATTATCCTCTCCTCCATCTCGCTACCATGTATATGCTATGCTGTCACAAAACCTGTGCAGTATATACTATCTAAGTCGTGATTTCTGTACCCTATACCTCCCATTTGCTGTAGTACCCGTAGAGTTGCGTCCCTACCGTCCCTTTGTACCTGCCCTGACTCCCCACCCGCTGGGTTTGACAAGATTGGTCATCCCGTTACGTAGTGCTTTACTCCCTGGGCAATAGGGACTCACATATATGTATTGCATTAAGAGGTTCAGAATGTCATACTCACAATCCAGTTACATTAGCACATCATATAGCGGAGACTAGCATAGAGTTAGTGTCTCTCAATGTCCAATTTTATAGTGGGTAGTGGTATGTCTCTGTTGGGTCCCGACTGGAGCCCTATTCTTTTCTTTGTGGCGAGCCCGCCATCTTCCATTCAGCCTGCGGTCCTCTCGGGGATGCTGTAGTCGAAGCGTCTCTCGGTGATAACGGGAATAGGCCCCATTCTTTTAGTAAGCGCATTCCCACCTCCGGTTCGTTGACGGTATGCGTTTTGGCATTCCTCCATATAAGTAGTTTTGTTTGATAGCCCCATCTGTATTGTATGCCGTTGTTTCTCAGGGACTTCGTCGCGTTAATGAATTCTCTGCGTCTGCCCATTGTCATAGCTGACAGGTCTGCGTATAATTGTATATCTGTATACGGGGTGGGCATCACGGTGATTTTCCTCGCCGCCTGCAGAAGATGGTCTTTCGTCTTATAGTAGTGGAAGCGAGCGACCACGTCGCGCGGCGTATCTTTATGCAGATTCTGCGGTTTCGGCAGTCTATGAGCTCGGTCCATGAGCCATTCTGGGTCCGATATCTCCGGCGCCAGCGACTTGCACAGGGAGATAAGGTATTGCGGCAGTTGCTCTCTCGTAACGCTTTCTGGTATGCCACGGAAGCGGATATTATTTCTGCGTGAGCGATCTTCCATGTCCGCTAATTTCCTTTTTAGGAACTGCTGTTCACTCACTAATTGTTGTACCGTGTCTGCCAGGGCGTCTTGCGCTGCACATATGTCGTCAGTGCGTGTTTCTAAATTGTTTGTTCTTTCCCCCAGATCTGTTATTTCTTTCTTAATATCATTTGTGGCTTTCTTTAGATCAGACTGCAGAATGAGTCTAAAATCCTTTAGCATTGCATACAGCTTTTTTTCTGTGACTGGGGCATCAGTGTATCCTTGCTCCTCAAACTCTGTGGTAGGATTTGAGGCCTGTGAGGGTTCCAGCTCCTCACCGCCGCCATCTTGCGCCGGCCGCAACCGGTCTTTTTTCCCGTGGCGGATCGGGTCCGTCAGCTTTGTTTGTTTTGCCGGGGCCATGGGAGGTGAAGGGGAGATACCTCTCCTGTTTATTGCCGTCAGCCAGGGGGGGTAAGAGCTGCTTCTATTCACGCTTTTGCTGTCTCGGACCGGGAGCTCTCACTCCATGCGTCCGTTCCTCTCGGCAGTCGGACACGCCCCCCTCTTGAATTCTTTGTTATGTTCTTCAAACCATCCTGAACAATTTTTGCAGTGTGACAGTGTTCATACTGCTGCTGAAAGAGGCCACAGCTATCAGGAAACACCAATGCCATAAAGGGGTGTACTGCAACATCTCTAGGTAGGTGGCACACGTCAAAAGTAACATCCACAAGAATGCCAGGACTCAAGGTTTTCCAGCAGAAGATTGCTCAGAGAATACACCAGCCTGCCTTCTTCCCATAGTGCATCCTGCTGCCATGTCTTCCCCAGATAAACAAAGCACACTGCCATTCATCTGATCTAAAAAGAAATGTAATTCATCCAACCAGGCAACCTTCTTCCATTGCTCCATAGTCCAGATCTGATGCTCACATCTCCATTAAAGGTGCTTTCGGCAGTGGACAGGGTTGATCATCATGGTCACTGGCTGGTCTGTGGCTATTCAGCCCCATATGCAGCAACAACACTGTGTGTTCTTACACTTTTCAATCATGGCCAGCTTTGCATATTTCAGCAATTGAGATACAGTAGCTCTTCTGTGTGATCGATCAGACAGACTAGCCTTCGCTCCCCACGTGCATCATTGAGCTTTGAGTGCACATGTCCCTGACACCAGCTGGCCTTCCTTTCATCACTTTTGGTAGGTACTAACCACTACATACAGGGGACATTCCACAAGACTTGCTAGTTTGGAGAAGCTCTGAGCCAGATGTCTAACCATCACTATTTGGTCCTTGCCAAATCCCTCAGATCTTTTTACTTGGCCACTTTTCTGCTTTCAATGCATTCATTTCAAGCACTGACTGTTTACTTCCTTCCCAATATATCAGACCTCGTTGACAGGTGCCATTGTAAGGATATAATGGTTTTAAATGTTGTGGCTTATCAGTATACATACATTTCTGCATTTCCCTGGTGAATTACCAAACAAATCAATTTAATATCCCTATTTGTGTTGCTATTTAAGAGAAATATTTGCTAAACAGTGAACAGGGAAGAGAACTCACGTCTGTAAATTGAGTAAAGGATGCAAGGAATCATATACCGCCACACCCGTATTAAATCCAAGAGAGAAAATTATGTGCAACACACCTTGTAATTTAAATACAATGGAGCATTGTTCAGAGTTACACTTAGATTGCTTGAAAAAGACAGTCGAAGCATTGCTGTTTCTGGGTTGCAAATAAAAGGATTTCTAATCATTTTCTTTATTAGAGAAATATTCACACTTTTTGTTTAATGAATCTTCTATCACATAAATCTGGTAATTTTATTTTAAAGAGCTTAAAGTAATAAATAAAAAAAAATGTTAAAATCAATTTCTCTGGCTAAATTAATTATTTATTCGAATATTTTTTAATATAAAAATAAACAAAAGGAAAAAAATACAACACACATTCAGGAGGAAAATAATCTATCCTTTATACATATTTTGTCTTCATTATTTATAAAAAAAACAAAAAACAAATTGTATAACAAAAAATAAATCACAAAAACAAATTCATCACATGGTGAGCAAACTGCTGAGGTAACCAGAGGTTGTGTGGAACAATTAGAAGTAGTAAAAAAAAATTGAGAGAAAACAAAAAACAAAAAAACAAAACATCAAAATATACAAATTTATAAAACGAAATAAATATAATTCACATTTTCAGGGAAGGCCCATGGAATGAATTTGGGCAAACAAATGACCATAAATGTACAAAGGACAGTTTGGCTAAGTATATGAGAACAAAATGTACAGTGTTGAAGGCTCTTGTCTTCATATATAAATGTCTTTTAGCCCATTGTGGGGTTTGAGATGATAATTTACAAATGTAAACAGAGTGGGAGTATTAATTATAATAAAAAAAAAAAGGAAAGAAAGAAGAAAAAAAAAGGGGGAGGTGCATTCAAAATACTTTTGGAAAGATGTTTTTTTTTTTTTTGTTTTTTTTTTAAACAGTCCCTTTATATACATATAGTACTGCAATATTATTAGATTCGATAGAAAGGTTCCTTATGTAAGGCTACACACAGCAGCCATCTTGTTATTATAAATATCTCAGAGATATTTTGTTTTTTTAAACATGAAATCTTAAGTAAAATCTGGCTAAAAGGTTATTTTTTTCCTTTAGTTTGTTCCATTTTAATGTTTTTGCTATAGTTAGTCAAGTAATAATAGAAGTATTAAGAAGTCAGATAACGTCAGAATGCCAATAGCCATCCATTAAACTGCACAGCGTAGGAGCCTATATGCATATCCCAAAATAAGCACATGATCTTAAACAGTCCTGTTTTTTTAGACAACACATTGAAGTGGGACATGTAAAAAACAAAAAAAACAAACAAACAAAAAAAAAAAACAGAAACATCTATCCAGATTCCGGTAGGACATGATATTGTGCTAAAGAAAATGACAGGTATGCTTTAGTATTGCTTATAAATTGAGGAATAGCCCAGGAGTACCTCAGTATCATTTAGATTTCTATTTATAAAGTTTTTGGTAATGTAATTACAAAAGTGTGTAAACACTACTACAAGGTGACGCATAACATCAGCTTCTACTAATCATAGGTGGCCAATTTTCACATTAAAAAGGCAGACACCATATTTGTTAGAAAGATAATCTTTCTGAACTTATATTTTGGGATACAGTTTAAGCTTCATAAATTCAGGGTAATGAAAATCAATGTATAAAATAAGGTATATCATCATGTTAGAATAGACTGCTGTAGAATTTCTGCAAATTAAAAAAATAAAATAAAAAAAAAAGTTTGTATTCCTTTAATAAAGCAGCTTATGGTGAAACAAACATACAGACCGTTATGAAAAAGAATGGACTATTCTCTTTAAACAATGTGAGATACACACTCATGTGTAGCCATTCTTGTTCTGAAAGCCTGACCTTACATAAGTATAGATGGGAATATTGTAAGGTAGAACAATGTTTTTTCTAACTCCCTGCCATCAAAAAGATTTTCTTAATATCTTGTGTTTTCCGACACAATAAAGCAACTCCAGAAAGCTACTGACGAGGGTAGCACAGAAAACATGGGGCAAAATGTGTAATAACTAAAGTATTGGTTAAATTACTCAAATTTGTACTAAAACTCAGTTTCAGAATATTAGTGGCATATTTCTGTAATTTCTAAATATTAGGTACTTACACTCAACAAAAATGTATACCATGCTAAAATTTGGTTATAACCATAATCCCCTGGTAGTATAACAAAGTATGCACTAAAAGGTTAAACTGTCAAAAATATTTGTGTTATTTTCTGCAAGTTTGACACCCAAATACAAACAATATTTTGCAGTCTGTGCTTTACAGGGAAAACAAAGTTAAAATATTACATTTGTATTGCTTATGTATCTAGATGCTGATCTTAGAGAAAACTCAAGGTCCAAAAGCCCGTTTTAATTTAAATCTTTACTCACTTCTCCCCAACCCAAAATCTGACATTTTTTAATGTTAACTGCAGTGTAAATCTGGTGACTATTTTACCATTATTGTTTTATGGTCATCTCTTCTAATTTTAGAATGTTATTTAGTTGACCTAGCTATGTAACATGATTAGAAGAGGACCTAAAGTTGTTTTTCCTTTCAATCTTTTTTTCTAATTTAATAATATCCTGCCAATGTCCCACCTTCCTCTTCTCAGTCTTTTACGCCGTTAATTATGTTGTTTTGTTAATTACTAAGATTTGAATTCCTGTGGAGTAGATTCTTTCTTCACCTTCCAGTGAGTCATATACTTGGCGGGAGCACTCTGAATGTGTGGATTTAGAAAAGGAGATGTGATGTCACTTCCCATTCCCCTCTCTCATGTCACACAGAGTGACCACAACATGCTGTGAAAGTGAAGATGAAACCAGGAACGGGGGCATCATACGACTGCAGTATGCAGGCGAGCATACTTTCACTTGCAGTTAAGAACTGGTGATTATACCAGGTACTGTAAATATATATTGGCAATGATCACTGGTCCTCTCTGGCAAGTGAAAGCAGAAGACTGGGGGACAGGTAAAAAAAAAAAAAGTGTAAAAAACAAACACACACACACACACACACACACCCCAAGCAAATCAAAAAACTGCAGCAATAAATTTGCACATCTGGTTTTCCATCACTATTGAGCTAAAACTACAACTGTAATAGTAACTGCCCACATGATGGAAAGTAAGAAGAAATGCTGTGTTTGGCAGCATATAGTCCCGCAGTTGTCAATTCTATCCATCTGAACCACTAACACTGTGTCACAAGGAGACTGCAGTAAGGGCTCCATAAGGGAGGGATTAATCTGTTCATTATGCATGTGTCTGTCATATTTCACAGGAAATGACATGGAAATAATGTGACATGCTAGGGTTGAGAGAGAGAAAACAATCAGTCAAACAAAGCTTAATGATGGATTATGGGAAAGTAACCATGGGTAGTGAGCGAAAGCCTGAACAAGATCCAAACATTATCAAAAACTGCTAAACATTAAATTCCTCATAAGAAAAAGGAAGGAAGAGAGAAGAAGTGAATTACAAGATAAACAAAAAACAAACTAAAAAAGTAATTAAGCACATAAGTGGGTGAATATTCTTAAAGAGCTTTTATACAATATTCAGAAAAAAGGGGCACAAGGTAAACTAAACCCAATTTTATCTCATAATACTTCAAAAATTTACACATCTTGAAAAAGCAAAAATATATAGCCAGTATTTGAGAATTTACCAGTACAGTGCTAAAAACAACATAACAGCTCCACTTTTAGTGCTCGTATAGAGAAAAACAAACAGCGTATTTCTCTGGCACCAAAGGAGCAACATTTACTAAAAATCCCAAACTAAAAAGCCTGACTGAGTTCTCAATCAGATGTGAGCCCCTTAGATATTCTTCTGATTCTCATCATGAAGCCAGATCTGTCTAACATTCTATCTTAATACATCTCACCTGTAATATTTAGAGAGGGTCAAGAAAACAGAGGCAAAAAGTGCAAATGCTCCCATCTGTGACCTCTTGATACAAGAATAGCTATGGAAGATGAAAAACACAAACAACATATGAAGTGGGTGTGCAAAAAGCCATCCTCCTCTGAAAATAACAAATATAGACAAACCCTTCAAAACATTTAACAGTGTTCAGAACTTAATGGAAACAGGTTAGGTGAGTCAAAGGGCCAAAAATAAACCCTTTATCACAAATATTTAACTTTTCTTAACAATAATATAAACAAATAAACCTTAAAAAAAAATGTAAATAACAGGATACAAGTGTGAGACGTTTGGTCCATCAGTGGGCATAGTTTGTGTCATCTGTATAAAGACATAATCCATTCATTTGTGTAACATCAGGCACTTAGTAAAATTTCAGCCTGATCCGTTTTACAGTAACAAAAACTTGGGGATGGTGCCTGCAATCCACCAGGTTACCGGGAGTCTGTTTATCAGATAAATTCTATAATGAATGTAAATGTGCTTCACGACAGCCAATCACAGTTAATTTGTTTTCCACTGGATTCTCCAGTCCCAAAATGGAATTCACTCAACTACCATGTGACAGGTCAAGTAAGGCAATATGAAAACAGTAGGGCAAAGTATGGAGGCGCAATACACTAATAAAAAGGATAAGACTTTAAGACTTGAATGAAGACTGGAAAACACGTGTAGACAAAGCGTAGTGTGTAAACAGTCAGTGCACATGAATGCTGCTTACTAAAATTTCCTGAGACAGCCTGTCACTATAATACCTATAAGGATGGACAGGCCAAGCACCAATTAGATGGCTAGTTACGGTAAAACAGATAACGCATTTTGGTCCTGTTGCAGCTACGAGAAAAGAGCGCAACAAAAATGTGGCAGTGATCGTGTAGAGCGGATAACATGTGGAAGAGAATCCGTCAAGGCACAGTCTCTATTGGGCAGTGGGAACCTGGTCAGCCATCTGAGACAAAGCTTATTCTTCAAGAGTCATACTGACAAGTTATGTCTGAGGAGAAAGAAGAGATGGAACATATATCAAAGGACTGCAAAAAGTAGCTTTAGATAGTAACACCTCATCTAGCAACTAACAGAGAAGAAAAATACTTTTATATTGTGACAGGACGAATGTCCATTCATCAAGTAAGACGTTGGTCAGAATAGATCCAATATTTTTAAGAGTTAGGGCTTGTTGGATTTAAAACCTGAAGCTTTAGTTAGAACAGATCCAGAATTCACATTGTTAGTGACATTACATACTTGTGTGATATAAGGCAGTCATGATTTTACCTGGTCCAGGGGCACTGCTGGAGGTTTCTGCATCATATCACCCTGACCAAGGGCTCGGTTCTTGTGAAATGATGGTGACTGCATTTGAAAGGACATCCTAGACAAGCAGTTGAGTATAACAGGTGAGAAAACGTTAGATTTGTTTGGGATACAAAATTATACATTTTCATGAATCAGTACAAGAATCAATTACCACGCACACATAGAGTCCTAAAAATATAAGAATTATTAAATAGGTCAGAAGTCCCTAAACAGTAAGGCTTACTGAAATTAAAACAAAAAATAATCAAGCCTTGCTTTAAAGTATTAAAATGCTGTAGTAAAGCAAACCAGCTATTAACTGACTCCAGCACAAATCCTGAAGTGAACCAAGCACATTTATCATACATTTTAAAAATTCTATTATTCATATTTTTACACAGGTTTTCATTGTTAATATAACAGATACTATTCTAATCCCACACTTGCTCAAACCAAGTTTTATCCTGAGTGTCTACATAAAGAACCTATATTTTAATAACAGACTGACTCCTCTAATAAGCAGTCCACTTGGAGTAGTTTTTACTGTATACCACTACTACTAACGTATATACACACACACGTCCTGATAGTATTCCTTCCCATCACTATCTGGATAAGTGAAAATATTTTAGAGGCCAATGATTAGTGTTAGGTTACTCTAGGGATCAATCTTTAGTGTACTGTAGATATTGGTGTTTACTGATAGTGTTATTATAAAGTAGGGGTGAGTGCTCAAAACTTCAACTCACCACTAGACTTTAGCGAGTGACAATTTTCCCCAATTGAGAAGAAATTCATCCATGCTGAGTTTGCCATGGACACTCCTGCTATGTACTTGCCTGGCAATGGCAAGACCTGGTATAATGTATGAGATAGCATAGCAGTCGGCCACAGTGTTTATAGTGCCTAGGTATATTCTTGGTCAGATATTAACACTACATTTCCTTCTTCTCAAAAATGTTTGTATATATATCTTATCAACCACTTGGGAACTTATGTTTGAGAGATCTTCCTATGGTTTATAGTATTGATAATGCTGTGGATTTTGTCTAGTTAGGCTACTTTTTGTTACCTAAAATTTCTGTAGTTTTCAAAATCATTTAAATAAAAATTAAACAAAAACAACAAAAATCCCCAAAACATTGCACTTGTAAGAAACAGCAATGTTTTACACTGTCTAAGTAAAGGGGGAGAGTCTTACAATGTAGTGATTTTTATGTTTAGAGAGTCAGGATCATTGTACAAAATAGTGCAACTTAATTTCAAAGCCAACCATTCAAATAAAGACATTGGTTCTCCCATCATACTCACTCTTGGGGTCGGTACATGTTTGAAAATGATGGCATCCCACCACTTTGCTCCATCATGACAGCTTGAAAGTGCCCCCTGCTGTGCTCAGGATGTTGGTAGCCGGATCTTAGTAGAGTGTGTCCATTAGGACGTCCATGAGCAGAGTGAGGTGAAGTGTGTAGTGGTGGTTGCTGGTACCCTTGAGGTTGGTAGTGTTGTTGAGCTGGGAAAGATGGTGATGACATCATATTAGAATGTGGACGGAAGTTAGGGCTGCCCCACATTTGTGGACCGCCATATACAAAGCCACCACTTTGTCTCTTGTGATTATCCAAATCCAAAAATTGTTTAGGACTTTCAGCCCTGTCTGAGGCACCATCCGTCTCTTCATCAGTCTGCCCCTTGCTTTCACCTGGCACTGCTTTGGGCTCACCCTCTAGAAGAGGGGACATTAGTATTGTCTTCAATTCTGCAATGCCCTGGACTCCGAGAGCACCAGTGTAGCCACCCCGGTTTTGAGGGGACTGTTGTACATTACTCTGCCAATGTGGGTATTCCTGTTGGTAGTAGGAAGGCCGCTGGTAAGACTGGTAGGAATTCTGTACTTGCTGTGGATGTGGATAACCATATGCTGATCCCTGTGGATACCTGGGAAATGTTCCTGGATAAACATGAGGGTGTGAATTCCCAAATCTTTGAGGGGAAAAGCCAGAATGATGGGGTCCAAGAGGTCTCTCCACCCCTGGGTTCTGATGCATGCCATACCCAGACTTATTGCTGCCAGGTGGAATCCATGAGACATAGTTACTCCTAGTATCTGATCTGGACATTTCAGATGAGGGATGAAGCACTTTCTGCTGAGGGATAGAAGAGTGTTCCATTTTTAGCGTACTTTGCCCAGATTCCTTTAATCTTGCTGCTTCTGCTTTTTCTTCCAATACAATTCTACTTCCTTGACTATTATGGGGACTGTGTGATAGAGGGTCAGAACTAGCATTCATGTCACTACCTGGATACCATGATTTTTCACCCTCCTGGAAGACACCAGTTACAACACCATCTGTTTGTAGTGGGGGGCCTTGAAAGGTGCATGGTTTTCTATAGTCCCCATTAGTGTGTAGGGGATTTGGTTTAGATAGAACTGTGGCTGGTGACTTGGTCTTGGATTTCACTGGGACCAGAGGAGATGAAGACAAAACTGTAGATGAAACATACAAGATTCAGATGAAAAACTACTGATAACAAAATATCGTAGCAAATCGCATTTGGATTCAATGAAGTAGAAAGGTAAAAATGTTTCACAAATGGGCTTTTATATGTACAGTAAATATAGATATAAATACATACACACAATATTATTTTAGGGATTTAATTATTTTAGAGAAACGGATATGAAAAGATGTCACTCAGGGCTCTGGTATCACTAAACAGCGCAAGAGGAAGCTAAGCAAGTAAGCGTGAAGATTACAGGATCACAGCAGTCACACTGGACCCCAGGGAAAGGATCCACTCCAGCTTTCCCAAAGGTAGGTGGGGCTGGGTGGACTTAAATAAAAAATAAACAATTTGTAAATGTATAAGAAAATGTTTGTGTGTCAGTGAGTGTTTGTCAAATCACTGAGTGTGTGTTTAGTTAAAGCAGGGGTCCTCAAACTTTTTAAACAGGGCGCCAGTTCACTATCCCTCAGACACTGTTGGGGGCCGGACTATAGTTTGAAAATATTTTGAACGAATTCCTATACATACTGAAACAGACACATAGACATATACAGACACACACTAACATACACACAGACACAAACACACATAAGGACATACCGTGTTTCTCCGAAAATAAGACCGGGTCTTATATTAATTTTAGTTCCAAAAAACACACTAGGGCTTATTTTCAGGGTAGGGCTTATTTATTTATGGTACCGGTATGTACATTGAACCCCCCCTTTAATTAATCCACCCCCCTTTAATAAATCCACCCCCTCTAATTAATCCACCCCTCTAATTAATCCACCCCCCTTTAATTAATCCACCCTCCTTTAATTAATCCACCCCCCCAATAAATCCACCCCCCCAATAAATCCAGCCCCCTCTAATTAATCCACCCTCCTAATTAATCCACCCCTCCTTTAATTAATCCACCCCTCCTTTAATTAATCCACCCCTCCTTTAATTAATCCACCCCTCCTTTAATTAATCCACCCCCCTCTAATTAATCCACCCCCCTCTAATTAATCCACCCCCTCTAATAAATCCACCCCCCTCCTTTAATAAATCCACCCCCTCTAATTAATCCACCCCCCTTTAATTAATCCACCCCCCTCTAATTTAATAATTAATCCAACCCCCTCTAATTAATCCAGCCCCCCTTTAATTAATTCACCCCCCTTTAATTAATTCACCCCCCTCTAATTAATCCACCCCTCCTTTAATTAATCCACCTCTAATTAATCCATTAATCCACCCCCTCTAATTAATCCACCCCCCTTTAATTAATCCACCCCCCCTAATAAATCCACCCCCCCTAATAAATCCACCCCCTCTAATAAATCCACCCCCCGTTTAATTAATCCAACCCCCCTTTAATAAATCCACCCCCCTCTAATTAATCCAGCCCCCCCTTTAATTAATTCACCGCCCCCTTTAATTAATTCAGTCCCAGACATAAAATATCTACTCACAGATGCCTTCCTTGCCCACCGAGTCCGACCACTGGGTGCCTCACCGCCCGGAAATGGATCCTTCCGCTGAAGATCCGTGAAGGCAGACTGACGACGCTGCGCACGTCGTCATCACGTTGCGCGATGCCGCGGCCTGCAACGCTCCTCCTCCCCCTCATAGAAGAAGGAAGTCCCGCCGGACCGAAAGGTACAATGCCTAGGTCTTATTTTCGGGGTAGGGCTTATATTGCAGCCCACCCCGAAAATTCAGCTAGGTCTTATTTTCGGGGTAGGGTGTATTTTCGGGGAAACACGGTACATAGACAGACATACTGAAATACATACATACTGACACACAGACATCCAAACACATACATACAGATACTGAAATACATACACATACATTCACACACACAGACATACATAGATACATATAGACACACACTGACATCCATACAGATACATACATACACATACTGACATACATAGCTAATTTTTCTTACTTTTTTTGCAGGAGGTTGGCTGTGGCTGATCGGAGTCAGCGTGGCTCTTCTGTCCTCTGCCTGTCTTTCTTCCCTCCTGCTGGGAGGAAGTGACCAGCCATCACTTCCTCCCAGCACTACTTTGCGGCTGCAATTTTTTAAAGGGGCCCGGTCGCACTTTTGCACGGCCGCAGCGCTGACCGGGCCCCTGATTATCTGCAATATTTACATTGCAGGGATAAGACTGCCTCTAGTGGCTGTCAATCCTGCTTGCTAGGAGACTTTTGGTTGCCTGACGCTGGACGTCTGCACGAGGATATCCATCATCAGTAAAAACCCCCATACAAAAGCATTGCAGCAACGGTCATGATGGAGGAGGTGGAGCGCCAAGAGAAATTGGCACTGGAATCAGGTAGGTACATAAAGGTTTTTTTTAAGGAGGGTGGTGTGTGTGTGTGTGTGTGTGTGTGTGTGTGTGTGTGTGTGTGTGTGTGTGTGTGTGTCAAGAGGAACACGATAGCTTTAGTAATACAACTTTGTATTCCTAATGTTATAGTGTCCCTTTAACACAATGTCAAGGAGAAAAGACATCAGCAATGGTCTTAAAGAAGCTATTGTTGCTGCCCATCAAACTAGTTCACCCCAAGGTCATGCAATGCTCAGAGAAATTGCAAAACAAAAAAAAAAATATAAAAAAAAAACAAAAAAAAACAAGAGTTACATCTCAGACTAGAGGCTCCACAATGATGTAAGAGATTGATAAACTTATACAGAAAACCATTACTTCAAGTTATTGCTGCTAAAGGTGGTTCTACAAGACGTTGAATCATAAGGTGTACTCAGTTTTTTGCACATAGCTTCTCCATTTTGGATTTATTTTTGTTAAATAAATAATGACACAATGTAATATGTCACAGTGTATTATGTTGTTGTTCATCTGAGGTTGTATTTACCTAATTTTAAGAACTGTAAAGGAACAGATGATTGTTATTTCATCATGATATGTAAAACAATGATGAAAGTACCAAACATGTGTACTTTCTTTTTCCCATGACTGTATGTTATTTTTTTTTTTTTTTTTACTTGGAGTGTACCTGCTGGAAACATGTTTCCTAGCTTGCTAGATCAGGTTTAATTTCTTAAAACAAAACGTCTTTCTTAAAAAACAGTAAACAATGATTAGCCCATAGTTTCCTTTTCACTTGCCAACCAGGACTTCTTATTCGATTAGCCTTGAGAAAATTATATTCAATTTTAAAAAAAATGTACAAATTCTCTTTTAGAAATCCACTTTGCTAGTACAACACAAATAGTCAGTGTGGCGAAACCGACCTCGCAACTGGGCATTGGAGAAGACGGATTGCCATTGTTGTGAGAACAATGGATGGCGGCCATTTTAACTCACAGACACTGTTTGGACTTTTCAACACGTTGCCATCTCGCCGGTATTTGGTGCACAGAGACATCGTGCAGTGGTTTTGGACTATACAACAGGGGACACATTATACAGTAATTGTGTTTCATTTAGCCTGCATATGTTCCGTGGAATCTGCATTAAACTGTATCTTCCAAAGTACTGAACGGATCTGGGTGAATTTTGGATATGTGGTTCACCCAGATCCCCCGGTTCCAAGGATATACTTTTTATGGGGTTATTGCATGTTTTGGGGTCCCTGTGATGTGTTTTATGATACTGTATCTCTCTGCCTGTGATAATTAGATTAACCATTGTGTTCAGTAATCATATCACAAGCAGAGGGGAGGATTTTGTGTGGGAGTGTCTATGTGTATTGTACAGATTGATTGGTTGTTCTGTAAAACCCTGTGGGCAGTACTAAGTTTGTGGATTGGGAATAAAAGAGGCTGTATGTGCCAGTACAGTCAGTTCTGCTTGACCCTCAAAAACGAAGTGTCGTCTCGTTATTGGGGGAATTTGATTGTATGCTGATTGCCAGGAGTGTAAGCTGATTGTATGCTTTTCCTGTTCAGCTGCTTACAGCATTCATATGCTTGAGAGCATTTGTATGCTTCTCCGGTTCGGTGGTTGTGGTGTCTGCTGCAGTGCTTGGAGTCCCCAGGAAGCGCTAGGAGCGTCCTTCAACGGAGGTACCCAGTTGGGGTGCCAGGTGATCCGTTACAGTCAGCTATCAGTCAGTTATGCACACAGTTTATCTATTTTGGCTTTAAATTTGTAATTAAACTTTAAATTCCTGACAATTCTTATATTAGTAAATAACTCTTATAGAAATGTTTTACAGTGATCGACTCATATCAATATGTACCTTTCCTTGACGATGCCTTGCTTGTTCTTTTTCTGGCAGGACCTTGGCACATCTCTGTTTTTTTTGTAATGGGTTTGTCTGTGGATGGGTATGATGTAGGAGTGTAAGAGTTCTCTGCTGGAGGGCACAACATAAGTTCACCAGGCTTCTCTATGTGTGAGTATGATGTTGGAGAGCAGGAATTCTCTGTTGGTGGGTATACTGTGAGAGTGTCAGGCTTTTCTGTTGGTGGGTATGATGTATGCTCACAAGGATCTGTTGATGGATGTAGCATGTGAGCACCCGGCTTCTTTGTTGGTGAGAACAGAGTTGTTGCGCATAGATTCTCTGTTGATGGGTATGGGGTTGGTTTCTCTTCTGGTTGGTACAGCGTAGAGACACAAGGCTCTTCTGCTGCTGGATACTGTGTGTTTGTAGATGGTGTGACTGCTGGTGGATAAAACACAGTTTTCTCAAGCTTCTCTGATGTTGGGTGGTACTTTTTTGTTGGTATATATGGTGGACACTCTGCTGGTGGGTATGGTATAGATGTACAAGTCTTGTCTGTTGGTGGGCTGGTTGCACCTGGTGTACCAGAGTTCTCCGTTTGTGAGCACAGTCCAGGTGCACTAGGCTTCTCTTTCGGTTTGTCTAGCGCAGGTGTGCCAGGCTTCTCTTCTGATGAGTACAGTGTGGGCGAGCCAGAATTTTCTGTTGGCTGGTATTCTGTAGGTCCACCAGGTTTTTCTTCTGGCGGGTACAGGATAGGTGCTTCTGGCTTCTCTCTTGTTTGGTACAGCACAGTGGTTCCAGGCTTCTCTTCTTGTGGGTATAAAATGGGTGCACCAGGATTTTCTGTTGGTTGGTGTAGTGCAAGTGTATTATCCTTCTCTTCTGGTGGGTAATGTACAGGCAACCCAGGTTTCTCTTTGGGTAGGTATAAAGTGGGTGTGCAAGGCTTCTCTGTTGACTGGTATAAAGCACGGGCCTCAGGCTTTTCTTCCGGTGGGAAAAGTGTATGTGCAACAGACCTTTCTGCTGGTGGATGGAGTGTGGGCATGCCATGCTTCTCTGCTGGTGGGTAGGGCATGGGTGGTGGTGGAGAAGGGTACTCCGAACTTGGGGGGTAAGCGAGTGAGGAGAGTCTTTGCATTGCTACCATTTCAGGACTGTCCAGCATGGAATTACTTAGAGTGCTGAATGTGTGCCTATTAAAGTTTGGTCCAGGGGGTCTTACCATGTGTGAATCCACAGATGGTGGATATGGAGTTGGACCTGCCCTTTGTTGTGGATCATGTGTAGTGTTTCCATTCCATGTGGTAGGAGAGGGTCCAAATCTATAGGGTGGATAGAAAGATCCAGGAGGTTGGAATGGGGGTCGTGTCATGTATCCTGCAACAAATGGTGTTTGAGGTTGCGAGACATCATCCTGCAAAGCCATTCTGGCCCTGGGAGAGGTTGGAGCATTGTAAGGTCTATGAGAATTTCTATAATTCTTTGTTGTATTTTCAAATAGTTCATGACCCCGAGGGTCAGTTGTACCTGGAACAGTCTGGAATAAAAAAGAAAATTCCTTTAAATAAAAAAATAAAAAAATAAAAAAACACCCCACACCCTCCCCGTAAAAAATAGTTTACAGAGATTTGTGTTTAGCTGCCTTGCCCTCTTAGACTTGTTTGAGAAGGTTTTTTTTCACCTTGTGTATGTCAACACAATTTTGGTCTGTCAATTACATGTTGTTAAATAATCCCACTGTAAAGCAGGGAAAAAAATAAATATAAAAATGAAATCGATCCAAAGCAACATCATTCCTATTTTATTTAGGATTATGCCATTCATAGCCTTTGGGTATATGGTGATGCATTTAATTTCTTAAAAAGAATATTACGTTCTGTTATTTAGTGATATTAGAACCAAATACCTGTACATCAGACCAAGCACAATGCTTTGGAATGCAGCTCATGAGTAGAGAGAACCATTAGTACTTTAGTTTGGCTGTAGTTACCTGTGTGCTATAGCTCTGGGTATGCCGAACTGGATCCCCCAAATGTGGTTCAGGAAATCTCAAAGGTCTGTACCCTAATCCAGTGTCCGAGCCTCTTAGTGGTGCATGCATGTGAGCAGCCGAAGGCTTTGGGGGGGAAATATTAAATATGTTAGAACAAACTGACATTTTATTAGAACTGAAAAATTGATTCTTGTAATGCACATTTCAAAAACTTAGCAAAATGTGGAGTCAGACATACCCCGTAGCTAATGCAAAGGGGATTATTTTTCGGCATACACCACATAACTATGACCTGCCCACAACACCAAACAGGAATACCAGAAGTTTAGGGAGAGGAATATCTGAAGTCTAGGCTGCAGAAGTCAGCCTTGCTAGCAGCTTGGTTACCTTTATACAACTCTTGCCCCATTAAAAAAAGACATGTAAATTGGAGACTCATAATATATGCTGGATACTTTATTTAAAATGATACTATAGTCACCTTAACAGTTTTGCTTGCTTTAATACAGCCCTAGTCACACCTTCCTGCACGTGACTTCCACAGCCTTTCTAAACACTTCCACAAGAGAGATCTAAGATTTAAACTTCCTTTAGTGCACATTTTGTTTCAATTTAGAATACCTTATCTTCTACTCTGTTAGCAGCCTTCTAGACCCTGCCACAACCTACTGTGTGTGGTTAAACTTCAATTTACAGAGCAAGAGATTAACATCCAGACCAAGTTAATAACTGATTGAAAAATGAAACAATTTTCTTTTTTCATGCAGGCTATTTGAGTCACATCCTGGGAAGATATGGCTAGGGCTTAGAAAACAGAAACAAACATGATTTATCTCCTAAATGGTAAAGAATTGACCAATGAGGCAGCAGAGGCATGATCTATACACCAAAACTGCTTCATTAAGCTAAAGTTGTTTTGATAAGTATAGTGTCCTTTAAGAAATTTTGAATAAAACAATTAAAGATGCAGCCAAGTGTCCAAATTCTGACCCCAGAACAAAACCCCCAACAATGTTTTTGTGTTTGTTTTACCGTAACATAAGGGTTTCTCTTTAAGTGCCCACATATTATACTTGACAGAAAGGGGTTTCTTTAATAATATATATATATATATATACACACACACACACACACACACACACATACACACAACCAACATAACATTAAGGGGACACAATAATCACCAGAACAACTTTAGCTTAATGAAGCAGTTTTGGTGCATAGATCATGCCTTTGAAGTTTTACTGCTCAATTCAAGACAAGGTGCAAGACAAGGTTTTGCATATGACCTCAATCTGCTATGAAGTAAGCCATTTTGTTTTGTTAATCCTCTGTATAGTGTATTTTAGTTATCTGCTGAATATCTATAAATCTATATACATACAGGACATATAACTTTCATTATAAAAAGGGAAAATTTGATAGTTTATTTAGATTTGCAAGTGACAATGGGTTGCAAAATCTTTAGTTCTTATGATAAGCACTGGGATTATTCTACTGCAGGTTTTATGCATCTCAAGTTCTTGCTTATGTAGAGATATTTTCTGTCAAATTTAGAAGTTAAAAAGACTCCTTGATATCATAATTCTTGTTTATTTGGGCATTATCAGTCACCCTCTCACCATGTTTGCTGTATGCATTGTTTGCCTTGGCATGCCTCCATATTGCAGCTGGTAAGGATATGGTTGTCCTCTGGATGGATTCATCATGGTTGGATCCGGATGCCCTTCCATCTCTTCCTGCATGGGAGAAGACATTGGATGCTTTCCAATCTCTGGGGACTGCTTCTTCCTCCCCCCATCTTCTTTGCTCTTCCTCCAGCCCCCAGCTTTGGAGCGTCGGATCTGGCTTCGCCTCTTCAGGGATTTGTCCTCATCCGTCCTAATCCATGTCTCCCCATCTGAGTCACCATCATCATCAGGTAGGTGTTTGACCAAGGCTTTTTTGAAGCAGCGCTCCACATTCTCTGCCATACGAGTATATTCTGTCAAGAAGAGATCTACATTAAACATGCAACCACCACTCATAACAATCTTTGGATATAAGTGACATTCTGCAACTAATCCAAATATGCCGTTAACATCCTTAGCTGACATTTAGCCGAAAAGTCTGTAGGATTCTGCTTCAGGATGACATATCGGTCTTGATGATAAAATGTTAGGGCTCCTGAAAGCTTGCACTCTATACATAATCATGCAATGGAAACGTATCAAAGTAGGGTACTAATGGTTAAACAGTTTTGACCCATTATCAGGGAACCAAGCCAGTTTACTCCTGGCATCATAAGACACTGTAGTGGTTATGATGCATGCAGTAACTCTTTAAAAGAGACATTCCAATCACAATAACTGCTGCAGCTTAACAGCAACATTTAAAAAAAAGGAATGTGTGCATGGATAGCTTCCTAGTAACATAACTGCCACATTAACTTGTAGAGGTCATGATGCTTGGATGTTCCCTTTAATTCAAACTACCCGTATATACTTGTGTATAAGTCGATCTCATGTATAAGTCGAGTGCAGTTTTGTGACCAACAATTGTGAAATATGCTATGCTCTGTGGATAAGTCGAGGGTAAAACTTGGGGCTATGAAATTCTGTGATTTTTTATAATTATATACACACACACTCATAGAAACACACACTCTGCATTATATACACACACACTCATACAAACACACACTCTGCATTATATATACATACACTCTGTGTGTATATAATGCAGAGTGTGTATAATTGTGTGACTGCAGAGTGTGTGTGTGAACTGGGTGGGGGGAGGGCATTTTTATTATTTTAATTTTTTTAATTTTAATATGTTAATTTTTTAAAAAATTTTTATATTATTTTATTATTTAATTTTTTTTTTAGTCCCCCCTCCCTGCTTGTTAACTGGTCAGGGAGGGGGGGGCTATCTTAATCCCTGGTGGTCCAGTGGCATGGGCTGTGCAGGGGTGGAGCCGGCAGCGAGCTGTTACTTACCTTTACAGTAGCTCCGGTCACCTCCGTTCAGCTCCCGTCAGCTCCCAGTGTAAATCTCGTGGAGCGTTGCCACGGTAACCCGTGGCAACGCTCTGAAGGCCGCGGGTCTCACGAGACCTACACTAGGAGCTGCACGGAGGTGAAGGGAGCTGACCAGAGCTGCTACAAAAGGTATATAACAGCTTGCTGCCTGCCCCCAACATGACCGTCGATCCTGTTCTGTATTATGGCAATGTAAGTTGCCATAATACAGACCTTGACTCGCGTATAAGTCGAGTGGGGCTTTTTCAGCACAAAAAATGTGCTGAAAAACTCTACTTATACTCGAGTATATACGGTACTTGATAAAAAAATTGCTTCATTGGATTTATTCACTTAATAAATTTGAGGTACTAATATGCATATAAAGGCCTCAAAATTTCCACTAATCATTGGCGAGTGAAAATGTAGCCCTAAAAAGTCTGTGTTTAACATTGTATTGACTATCCACTGACTTCGGGTGGAAGGGGTTTTCAATCTCTTTTTCCCCACTATAACGTTCTTGGTTTGTCCTCCGTAAGGCCAAGTCTCAATAGCAAGCCAGTAACCAACCTCATGCTGATAAGTTGCATTAACAACGAAACAGCTGTCCCATGGTTCACTGGCTTTGTATCTCTAACTGTTTCAAAGCTGTTGTGTACAGCAAACTCATAGGAATCCATGTTTAAGATGGAATAATTAGACAAAAAGGTGATTCTTTGTTGAACTCATTTGTATATATAGTAACAGCACTGCTAATGTCAGATTTCTGAGGGGAAAAACTATTTTTATAGCTTTACTGATGTGTGCACTTGTGTTTAACAATATATTGAAAACACACACACACACAATAGGATGTGTTTTTCTTAATACCAAGGTGACACTTGCTTCTCAGTACATACCACTGTCCTGTCCATTATACTTTGCACAGTTCTTGAATATTGTTTTTATGTCACAGACAAATTGCTCCTTCGTGAGGTAGTATCCAGAACACAGTCTCTGTTCCACCCTGGATATGTCCATAGGGTTCTGGGGAGAGAGGTTTGGTTATCACAACAGAAGCAAATGTAAATATTGTAGGTCAAACCACAAATAAGCTGAAATAATTTTGCGCAAAAATAAATAAACTTTATAGGCTCATCACTCAGAAGGTGCACAATTCTGTAGCTATAGTGAAGACTGCATATCTTTGACACATATATATTTCTAGAAAGTTCTTATTTTAAGTTAGCTAAAATGTACTTAGATTCCAAATATAATATAATATTGTATATATCTATAATCCCTTCTTACTGTGATAATGTTGTAATAATTTGGAGCATAAGATTCATCTACTGGTTCCAGGAAAGGCCAAGAATCCTTGTGAGCTTTCACTGCATCCAAAACTGTAAACGGGAGATGGGAAGAGAGGGAAAAAAATAAAAAATTAAATTGTAAAACACAAAATCTACAAGCTTAGAAAAAGATAAAACCCAGCATACAACCGGCGAGTACCTGCTGAGACCCATTCTGGGTTAAGCCAAACGGCGGTGTAGAAGCCGGGACCATGCCGAGCAGTAGCACAAGCAAGCGGCGGAGGCAGACACGAGCAATGTGCACCTACAGAATGTGCCCCCAGGAGGAGAGACTGTGCCCCGGCGACGAAACCCCGCACACTATTATTCTCAAAGCACAGCAAAGATGCCGACTCACAAGAACCGACGGCCTGCAGATACGAAGTGTATTCGGACACAGCACGGCGGCGGGGATCCAGCCCCCACCAGAGGCAGACACTGGACTATACTGCAAGTAAACCACGAGGGGCCTGTTGCTCCACCACTGGCCAGGACAATACCTAACAGGACAGTACTAAGGCTTTGGTCCCTATGCTGCCACTATACTCCGCAATATTACACAGACCAGCCTCGTGGCACACAGCCACTGACTTCCACCTGGCCGGTGGGGGGGTTAAACGGGGGTGGAAAAACCTGTGCATGTTTAAAGCTTTTATCTATAGGCTACATCTGTCCTGTTCAACATATAGACAAGAATACATAACCAGACAAGGGCTACATGTATACTTCATTAAGCATTAATGTGTTCATAGCTCATATAGTACCAGCGAAGAATATGCTCCTTTTTATTGTGATTATTTTTTTTTCTTATCTTTACACCGTGTCTAAGAGAAACGCTAGTTCACACTCCCTTAATCATTAATCACACTGATTCATCTTCTGTCACACGTAGTATTATCTTGTATATCTATAAAAATGTGCATTTGTCCAGTTATGTCATGATATTGTTTGCCTAAATATGCCTGTTACTGCTATTGTGGCGACATGGGCATGCTTGTAACATGCATTGCACAACAAAAATAAAGAATAAAAAAAAAAAAAAACCAGCATCCTTGCACAGCAAATAACAGTATTAAGGTGTCTTATTTTAGGTCAGTCAGCTGATCGGTCTCGGCAAAAAAGCTATGCCCTACATTGCCGAGCTTAGCTCATGAAGCTAACTGAACTTCCACTTCTCCGCAGATGGTAGGGCACTCCTGGCATCATAACCACTACAGCAAACTGCTGTGGTTTCGATGTCTGAAGTCGTTCTTTAAATGGTTTACGATTTTTGAAGCGACTGATCTGTTAGTTCAGGTTTTGGCCATTAATAAAAAAATAAGAGGAATAAGAGGTATTTTGAGACTGTTTAGCAACAGTCACTTACCTTTGTACATTCCTGTGTAATGGTCATCCAGATCAAAGTTAAATCTAATTTGAGACAAAGACAAGAAAGATAATTACAAAAGCAGCTTATTTAATAACAACAATTAGCTTCTGCTGAATCGGCAGCTGATATACTAATATTAACATTACCCATTTATATATAACCCTTACTGAGTGATCTACTGCATTCTGGAGTACATCATAGGTAAGTGCGACCTTATGCTGCACTTACAGATGATCGGTCCCAACATATTTCCATTTTATTTATATGTTACTTGGTTAGGTTCTAATCTACAAACTCAAGCAAGGATTTGGATTCAAAAGGATTTGGTTTCAAAATTCTAAACGGAATTGAATAACTAATATTTGTCTTTTTATGGAGAGTTGCGCCACAGTCAGAAGGCAAAATTGAAAATGAAATATCAAAATGTCCCAATATTAGAGACATCAAAAGGAAAAAAATAAAACATTCAGGGATTGGCCCTCCCTTTCTGGAGCTCCCTGCAGGAAGCAATTCCCCCCTTTTTTAGTGCGTGCATTTTACTCTTGTTTTTTTGCAAACTAATATTAGAGATAGTCAAACACTTACAGATCTCTGGTTCTGTAATCCATTCTTACAGGTGAGCCAGGTTCCAGTTGTGTTAGTTCAGGGGGAAGCTCTTTGCCCTGTGACAAAAGCCAGGCCCGCTCCTCTCTCAGCTTTCTCCTACGTGCACGCTCTGGAATATTGAAAAGTACAGAATTATTTTCACTGTATTTCCAAAAGAACTTACACCTAGAATACACATACAATCTCCAATGACATGACAGTGCACTCAGCATTATACAAAATAAACATAATAGGATATATAAAGGGAAACGAACCATGATGGGAAACAAGAATGCGTCATATTTTCCAAAGAATAACACTAATTTAAGTAGCAAAAGATGACGCTCTGAACAGTGACTAATGGATTAATTCAATTAAAAGAAATATACAATAAAGGAATAACCACTAGCCTGCTAGCATCATAATCACTATGAAGAGCTGTAACAGTTAAAGTGCTTAGAAGGCCCCTTTAATATATTACTTTAAGTGCAAATACAACATCAAATAAACAAGTGCTTTACACAGATAAAGATGCCATGTCCTGGTGAACAAGTGTTAATTTTGTCGACTAACAATTTTAGTCTACTAAAACTAATATAACATTTTAGTCAAAAGTGACTAAAACTAAATCAAAATTTGCTGCCAACATTAACAGTGCACAGAGGCGCTGTGAAAGGGGCAAAAGAGACAGAACAGGACTTGGAAGACACAAAGAGACATAGAGGGGCTGGGGAAGGGGCAAAAGAGACAGAACAGGACTTGGAAGACACAAAGAGACATAGAGGGGCTGGGGAAGGGGCAAGAGAGACAGATAGAGGCTTTAGCTAAACTCATTACATTTTAGTCGTATCGGTTAAAATCTACTGGAGATTTATTTGACTAAAACCAGACTAAAAGAAAACCATTAAGATGACTATAATACGACTAAAATGGCTTTTTAGTCAAAAGTCTCAGAGTAAAACTAAATTGAAAATTGCCGTCAAAATCAACACTGCTGGTGAAAGATACTCCTTTTATTTCTATAGCAAACAAATGCTTCTGAGAGTGTACGTGCCTATTCTCTCTGTTTTAGCAGATGCACATAGCCTTATACACCAAGGATGGCGATCTCTACACTTGGACTAAAGTGAATACCTGGTGAAAATCAATTTTTGTACTTGTACCGGAGGACAATCATCGGTAGCCAGAGAGAGTTACATACCTTCCACAGATTTCACCTTATCTTCCAAAACTCTCTTCCTCTCTTCTTTCTGCAGGAGTTCCTGCTCCTTTCTTTGAACAACCATCATTAGCTGCCTTTCGTCTTCCCCCTCTTCCAGTCTTTTTTCTAGATCCTGCTCCTGAAAAAAAAAAAAAAAGCAAGAAATGTATTAACCCTTTAAGGACAGATTTACTGGTGAATCTAGTAGAGGAAAGTAAAATATAACATTAGGGTATATTTTAGACACCTTTACTCACACTTGTCTGGCTCACTTCAAAGGGTCAGAAACTCTAAATGCATTGATATAAACACAAAAACATTTCTTGACACAATTGGGGATTACCATGATTACTTGAAACATAGCCTATCTGAAAACAACTAGGGATGGATATTAGTGGGATGCAAGTTCATAGGATGAATTGTGCTTAATTTATAGCAATTGTCTACGTAATTAGTTGCTAGTAAATGTGTGGCTGTGGCAGAAACCTAACCGTGCCGCAGGTTCAAAATAGCAAATCTACTTTTAAGGGATGGGGTCTAAAACAAAAACAAAAACAATAAATCAAAAAAGCATGTTAAAGTATACAATGTCATTATAATAAATCCCAAAAATATGCTTAAAAGAAAAGCGCTTGCAGCTCTGGGGATGCTTCCATGAGTCAGCAGGGAGATCAAAAGATCTCCTTGCTTGGCCCTGTGCCTTCCTACTACTAAGTCGTGAGAATTCTGTGGTTTGGACAATCTAGTCATCTATCGAATGCAGATCACTTTAAGAACTACCTTGCAGTCCTCGGCGCTTCTAAATGACTCAACACTGAGCTGTGAGGGAGCTCTTAAGGGGATCTCCAATATGTGTGGAAACCACAATGCTTCTCTCCACTGGACCACCAGGGATACAGCTCCACATTGTGGCTTCCACTGGATCACCAAGGATTACACCATCTATCCTGCCAAAAGGTGGAAGAGGGGCTGGGGGGCAAATAAAAGAACATTTTTTTGTTTTTGTTCTTTTAATTAAAACTTTCCCAACACACAAACTCAGTATAGAATTTGGAAAACATGTTATATTCACTTTTAACCACCAGGGAGCAACCCAACACCACATTTTATCAAGATCATATTGTCTCACAGACAAATTAACAGCAATCTACCTTGAGCATGGAATTTCTATAGCTTGAATAGCCAGACAATCTTTTTGCTGCCAGCTTAGACTGTTCTTTCTGAATTCTAATTTCCTACAAAACAGAGGAGGAAAATAATTAAGGAAACAATCAGGACAAATAAAATATATATTCTTCTGGTTAATATCATCATATCCCATAGTGTCAAAGGATAAGCTGAAGTGCATGTTGGAAGTCTGTACTTACCTTCTGAGAAATCATATTGCAGATTTCTGGGAGAAATTCCTCACTGAGAATCTTATACAAGTGACGTTCTTTTGACGAAACTTTGTCCTTAAAGCTCTCTGTTACCTCCTTCCATTCCTGCTCGGTCTGGCACAGTAGAGACCAGGAGCCCTCACCAGGGGTCACAGCTAAATAAAAAGACAAAATAAACAGGTTAACAAATGTACAAAAAGCGTTCTACACACGAGTATGCAAATCAAGTCTATTTATCCATTAATCACACATTTACATAATCATTTAGATAGATGATTAAATAACATTTGTGTTCACTGTAAGTGATGCACTGCAACAATAAATGCTTTATTGACTGCAAGTAGAAATATACAACCCTTGTAATGATGATAATTAGTAAGAACGTATTTGTGACACTGCACACTGGCAACATCCTTGAATTAAGCCATTTTGTTTTGTTAATCATCTGTATAGTGTATTTTAGTTATCTGCTGAATATCTATAAATCTATATACATTTACAATGTAATGCATAATACAGGAATGCTATGAAGGCCTTACCAACAGACATAAAAAAGGCAACTTGTCAGTAGTGTCTTTTTTTTTATTCTTTATGAATATTTTGCTCCACAAGTGAGACAGCATGTAAAGACTGTGTTATAAGCACAGCATACGTGACTGCTGGAAAACAATAGAACATTATACATGGGTGTTCACGTACAGAGAGAGTTTTTTGGGGGGATTTGTAATTCAAAAGCCAAACTAGAAACGAAAGTAACAAGTAACTTCCCTAGCGTAACCGCTTACCCCATGGAAATACCCCTACCATGGATTATAATAATGTGGGATTAGGGAGGAGGATGAAAGATAATACCCTCAGAAATTTGCTTAAGTGAGCCTGCCTAAATAACATAGTGGTGGTACATATGAGGGTAGGTTTAAACAAAAAAAAAAATAAATAAAAACAAACAACCTGTAAAGGTTTATATTAGGAGAGCACCCTAAAAACGGATTTAGACATATAAACTCAAAAGTTAAAAAAATTAAAAGAAAAAAAGAAGAAAGATAAATTCAGAAAGTGATAAATTATATGAGAACTACTAACAGCACAATAGGCAACAATAGACATGTACGAGAGGCTTCCAAACTTGGTGTGGTGTACAACCACTGCATACATTATATGAGGTATAGGTCAGGTGACTGCCAATGTGGATGAGTGGTCCAGGGGAGATCAAGGTGTACATTCAAGAATCTTAGAGGAGTAAAGATCCATTAACCAGGTCTTTGTAGCTCCCATTGCTGTTATAAGGCCCACATTGCGAATACTAGCCTCCAGACTTGCACATATATATTTACCAGAGAAAACAACAGTTCTAAAACCACTAGCTAGTGAGGCTACTGGGAGGTATAAAGGGCAGTGATTCTTCCGACACCTGAAATTAAGTACGGTTTACTAAAATATATTTTTTTCTCTCTCATCACAGATGCTACATGTATTTATAATATTGCAAAAAACTAAAAATAAAAAGTGGTTCTGCTCTGCCGCTTACCATTCTGCTTTGATGTTTCTTCTAGAGTCAGTTGAATGACTTCTAACTTCTCACTGCAAAAAAATTGTGAAAGACAATAAACCAATGCAAATATGCTCTAATAGGCATGTATCAACTAGTATATTGTTTCTTAATTTATTGACTGTGTGTTCCTTACATCACTTCATTTTCTACACCAATGAGTGTGTGACAGGGAACATCACAAAATAATTTTGTAAAGGGTCCAAATAACATTAAGCCTGTTCCATCCACACTCATGGCCAACTAATATGAGATCTATCATCTTAACAAATACCATGGTTATGCAAGCTGGCTATGTATCCTTATTGGCTATGACTAACTGGATTACCAGATATTCCACACATTATCTACACACTTAAGTTGATGTATTATGTGCCATTTTATGTCTGCAATTATATTCATGACCTTCAAAATACAGAAAATTTCAACTGATAAAAAAAAAATATTAAAAAGTTAGTCATCACTGGACGCATGAAGCAAGCTAAAGGAGGCAATGATGGGAATATTTCAATACTTTGGACCTTAAGCATGCTAATTTACCCATCACCGATTTAGGTTGACCAGAAGAAACAATCTCTATTTAAAATTAGTATTTAAATGAAGGTAGATTATACCCATTATGCTTTAATGAGCTAATTAGCTTTATTTATTTAGCTCCAAAAGGCTTTGCATCAAGTACAGATATTTCACACCTGACTACAGCTTCCTCCAATTTCTTCTTTTTGGGTGGGCGACCCCTCTTCCGTACAGGTTTTGCTGCAATTTCAGCTGCTCTGAAACAAAAAAGTAGCAATATTGAAACCATGGAGAGAAAAAGAGCCATCAATGTTAAATGGATAACACTAGCACAATGTTCAAAGCTAGCAATGTTTGCATCAAACAAACTACAAAAGCAAACTTCAAACAAAGGACACAGCTACTCTTCTCTAATATTTCAGATGTCTGGGGTGTGACTCATTTTATTTCCTCTGAACCTTTGCTAGTAATCTATGGGCTGGAGTCCTGCAAGATCTGAAGTAATTGTAGATCTCCATTCTCTAGCACCGGGTCACCAGGGATACATTTTTCACTCCTGCATGACTGGAACTAAAGAGCAAGGAAGAAAAGGGATACGGATTTAGGGACATTTTTTCTCTCTCTCTCTACAAATTTAATAGATTAAAGAGGGAAATGGTTTTAAGTTTTTATGACTAGGGCCCTTCCCCAGCATATATATACAACCCTAAAGAAAATGTGTTTTTTATTGTAGGATGTCCTTAGCATCTGGGCTACAACTGAATGACCCCAAATATGGGATATAAATGAGAAAAATATTTCCTTATTAGTACTGAACATTTAAATGGATTTGCAATATAAATATTTACATATTTTATAAATAACACTGTAAATATGTTGCATTAACAATATTTCATGGTTACAGGTAAATTACTGTTTAGTAGACATAGTTCCAATTAAAACCCAAGGGGTGAGTGGGTAAATACATGTAATTATGCATTTTGTTTCAGTGGGGGTATTTTTCAAAATAGCTTGCAAAAGCTATTGATCATCTGTCTGAAGCCTTTGCAAACCCTCCCCTTCTAGCCCTACCCAGATTTTCTGTGGCTGTCCAATCACAGACTTCCCAATGCAGCTAAGTGAGAAGTCTTTGCAAGTCTAGTGCACTGGGCAATTGCTGCCTCTTGAGTTTAGTTCAACTGAGCGAACCAGTTGAGTCTAGCGCAACTGAAGAACTAAGAGGGCTGGTTGTTTAAATGTAAGCTAGGGGGATATAACAAGGTTAATTTATAAAAGTGCCAATTTCTATTATACGTTTTGTACAATGAAGACACGTCACAATTTTTTTTTTTTCAGCTGTACAGATCACTGCTTAAATCCCTGCCATTTAGGAGTAAAATCATTTCATTTATGCAGCTCTAGCCATGCCTCTACTGACTCACAGTCTCCCTACACAATTCCTGAAAAAGAGGTCAAAAGACACTAGCTTAATTATCATTATTTACACAGTTAAAGTGAACAGTTCAAAGCAAGTCAGTCTCCCATCCTATTTTAGGTAGATTGCAGAGGTCAAAGAGATCCATTTCATAAGGTCTCTTGTAGCATCCTCCTGGGACAAGGCACACTTAATGCAATGTGTTTGTTCCACTGGGAATGATTCAGGGACTTCCCCTCTTTCCTACACCATTCAGGTACAGGTGGCAAGTCCCTGGAATTGGCACGCTCTCTGAGAACATTGTGATTTCCATTTTGCTCTAGGGGCCTTTGTCCAGTTTCTATTTTCCAACTTCCACTATTGCCTTGCCCTCCCTCTCTCCCACCTTTTTGACAGCTTAAAGGAACACTATAGGGTCAGGAACACAAACATATATTACTGACCGTATAGTGTTAACACCACCATCTAGCCCCCCAGGGTCACTCATGCCTCCATAAATATAGCAAAATCTTACTGTATTCAAGCCAAAAGCTGTAACTCTGCATTGCCTCAATAAAAAAAAACAAGCAGTCTGCTGACATCATCAGAAGTGGTAGCCTGATCCAATCACAGTTCTTCCCCATAGGATTGGCTGAGACTGACAAAGAGGCAGATCAGGGGCAGAGCCAGCATGATTCAAACACAGCCCTGGCCAATCAGCATCTCCTCATAGAGATGAATTGAATCAATGAATCTCTGATGAGGAAAGTTCAGTGTCTGCATGCAGAGGGAGGAGATACTGAATGTTTGGATGCATTTTAGGCAGCCATGACCCAGGAAGGATCTCTAACAGCCATCTGAGGAGTGGCCAGTGAAGTTATCACTAGGCTGTAATGTAAACACTGCATTTTCTCTGAAAAGACCGTGTTTACAGCAAAAAGCCTGAAGGTAATGATTCTACTCACCAGAACAAATTCAATAAGCTGTAGTTGTTCTGGTGACTATAGTGTCCCTTTAATAGCTTGGAATTGATTTACAGCTGTTGTACAACTGTTTTTAGTCAATGATTTCTTATTACTTTTCAAATAACCTGCTTGCATATTACCAACCACTCCCACTTATTGTATTTTACATTGCAATAGTTGACTTTTGCTGTTCTGTAGTGTCGAACGGTCTTATGTTACTAATCATTTGATTGCTTACACATATTCACCGACTAGTTATAACTAGGTATGCTTATCCTAGGTAATTTCTCAATAAATCATGTTATGCAAAAAGGAAAAAAATAAAGTCTATATAATTTAGCTTCTCTTATAGCATATTGTGTATAATTTAGAATTTCTTACCTCATGCTCTGTTATAGCCTTGTAGAGCCTACAGGAGCCTCCTATGTGTGATCAAAGTAAATTAAATTAACAGAGCAGATGATAAGAACGTCTAAAGTAAACACAATGTGCCATATGATCTTCTTGAAAATTAAACCTTTTATTTATGTAAACTGTGTGAGGTGCAGCTAGGGCTGAATAAACAGAAACAAAAGTGATTTAATTCCAATATGGCAGAGAATTGGGTAGTGAGACTGCAGGGACTTCATTAAACTAAAGTTTTGGTACTTAGAGTGTCCCTCCAGTATATGAAAGTCCATTAAAAATATTAAGTATGCTAAATGATATTTTAGTTGGTCTGGGCAAACATGTGCGTTAATTAGCTGCACTCACGGATGGAGGGCTTAAGGTTACCACATATAAAAACATACTACAAAGCAACTGAATTGGCCCAATTGACAGCCTCCGTCACCGCACTATTAACACCCCTCTGGCTCAGACTAGAGGTTGCGGTTATGAGCGCATATACCACGCATCAACTGCTTTGGTCCCCATTCCACTAACAACGCCCTTCTCCCCATTAGTGGTAGCAATCCTACAAACCACAAAGTTCTCACTCATTAAGCACAAGTGAACTGATACGCTCAAAGACCTCATCCCTAAACTGTTCCTAGCCCCGACTCTCTTTAATTGTACATGTCTGACCTATATTAAGATGTGGATACAGGCAGGTATACTAAATGTATGCCAGATTATGTCTAATGCACAAATCTGGCACTACTCAGATCTCCAATGTGAATATCCACTCCTTCATAAGGAATTGTTCACCTATTTGAGAATTACAACCATCATAGGCAAACATTTGGATTAGCTCCAGATGAACTAAGGTAATTCCACAAGCTATGTCTTGTGGTGCCGGGATAGATCAAACCACTGGCATTAATTCATGCAGCCCTAAATCATCGTACCATACATACATCAAATTACCATATATGTTCAAATGGGAACTTTAACCAGATACAGAATTCACACCGGAGGAATGGCGGATTGCGGCCATTTCACACATGCAAAGCGTGTGAGATGGTATTTAGCGCCACACAGGCTAGCATACATTTACTCAACATAGCCCCCACTTTGCTGGCACAGTAATGGCGACACTGGAACAACCACACATATATTTTGGTATTGCCGACCTCTCATACAGTAATAGCACCAAAATCAATGACTGATACAAAAGTTCACTAACATCACCTTAGGTTTCTAGCCAGAATCGTTCCTTTTAAACATGCTCCCAGAGGTGTTACAGGGAACATTAAAAGACTTGACCATGTGCCCACTGGTCACTGCTAAACTCTGCATAGCACGTCTTCCAGTCCCCGCACGTTTTCCGTGGTGCCGGACACTGCAGACACTAAAAGATTGTTGAAAGGCACAATCTCTTAGCATGAGAAAGTATGGGCTTTGTGGGAGACTCATGCACCTATAGTGTCCTTTAAAGGTGAATTTCTTGCATTGGGAGGGGAGACAACAAACCAATCCTGCATTTATCGTAAAAGAAGCTGGGATAAATTACCTCTGGGATTTCAAATACATATTACTGGATATCAAGTTTGGGAGTTGAAAGCTAGCTTATAATGGTGGGTGACGTTAGGCTTTTGTAAAACTTACTCTTGCAGAGCTTGCTGCCTCTTTTCCCATGAAGGCTCCTCTTTATACAGTCGAGTCCCATAAAAATACCAGTAAAGATTTCCGATGTCATCTTCTCCCAGGGGTTCCACGCGTAGGCTGTCTGCGTCCAGACCCTGCAGATGGAAACAAGTCATAGAGGGTCATTAAAAAGTAAAGACATTTTATGGGTGTAAATTCTGCATTATATATCTAAAGTGACACTTTTCAATTACATGTATTATATTTGTCTTAGGCCATTTCTGGTAGTATACCTGCCTTTTAACAAACAATGGTCTAATTTACCACTTAATTGTAGATCCCAAATTATAGGTTACAAATTAAACAATGGCAATCTGTCTATTCATTTGGCTACAGGTCTTTAATAATTATGCTTTTCTTCAGTACCTAACCTGTAACTGTGTGCAGAAGACATTGTGGGAGTTCACAAGCATACACACAACAGTAGTATACACAACTTTATGCCAGAGGCAAAGACATAAACCATAACACTTTAAAGATAAAAAGATATGCCCTAGAAAAAGTCACGTTTGCAGGACATTGAAACGTTAACATATTACTTGTATAGCTCAACGATATTCTGTAGTGCCTTGTAACATAGAAACAATGAATGACAAACAAGCTAAAGTTTACAAAACAGAGTACAAAGAGCCCTGCTCAAATGAGCTCACTAACTAGAGAGTAAATATAAGTATGTGTATATGCAAATGTATATTTGGATCTATTGAATAACTACTGGAACTAAACCCTGCTGAGATAGAACCCTGGCAAGTAATCATACCTTGAGTAGGTCAAACACGTCATCTGCATCAAGTCGATAGTCACACAGTCTATGAAGAATCTCAAGTCGTGTGTGCAGAGGCAGCTGATGGAAGTTGGCACCCTTCAGGGGGTTTGGCTTGCCCTCTTCCAGCTCCCAGCGATAACTAATGATGTCTTCCAAGTATACCTGAAACGTTTGTGCCCTGGGAAAGAGACAGGAGGGGATGCGATTCATCAAGATACATCTACCATCACACAATCAATAGAGGACAAACTAGGGGGATTGGGGAGAGGTCAGCACTTGTATTAGATAGTTTAAAGGGACACTCCAGGCACCCAGACCACTTCTGCCCATTGGAGTGGTCTGTGTGCCAACTCCCACTACCCTTAACCCTGCAAGTGTAGTTATTGCAGTTTTTAAAAACTGCAATAATTACCTTGCAGGGTTAAGTCCTCCTCTAGTGGCTGTCTATTAGAACACGAAAAGTGTTTTAAACGACACTGGACGTCATCGCGCTATGCTTGAGGACCTGCAGGGTTGCCAAAATACCCATAGGAAAGCACTGCGCATTAGGTCTCGCCCACCGGTGGGGAGGAGAGTAGGCGGAGCCTGACCCCGAGGGATATCAGCGCTGGACTCTGGTAAGTCACTGGAGAGGTTTTAACCACTTCAGCAACATGGGATAGGGGATGGGAGGGAGAGGGGCACTGCAGGGTCCTGCAGTGCCAGGAAAACTAATATGTTTTCCTGGCACTGGAGAGTCTCTTTAAGTAACAGAAATACTAGACCACTGGAGTCTGTACTGGCAATTATCCTTTAATTCATAAAAAGCTGGCCAGACAGGATATATCCAAGGAATTACCATGTCGATATCTGCCAATACAGTTTATATATCACATAGCAGTTTTTGCAGTTCCTGTGAACTCTAATATAATCTGTCAAAGAAATTTAGTTTTGATAACTGCTAGATCTCCTGCTACTTTGTGACTTGTTATAAAGTTACATTAAAGAAACACGTCAAGTACCAAACTTATCAGAGCCCATTGTGGCATTTATGGAGCCAGGAGTCACCTAGCACTCCCCCCCCTCCGCCCCCATCACCACTTTAAGGAGTGAAACTGTTTTACAACAGTCTGACATCTTACCTGGGGTCTTCCAGGCACAGTTCCCAGCTTCCACTACTTATGTTTGAAAGCTGAAACTTCTATTAGCGCTTCTCAGCTAAACTCTGCAATACATTGGATGAGAGATCAACTGATCCCTCTCACCCGATGAGCAATGCAGGGCTTAGCTCAGGAAAGCTAACTTTTTTGCTCTCAAACATAAATAACGAATCAGCATCTGGTGGACAACATGCAAGGAGTCAAACGGCTCAAAAATGTTTTGACTCAAAACAAAAAGGGGTGGGGGAATGGGAGCACCTGGCATCTAGCACCACTACTACTACTACTACTACAATGAGCTAAAGTGGTTAAGGTACTTGGGGTGTTCATTTAATAAAGTAATTTTGGGGGGTGGGGAGCAAGCTGATAAAAGTATGTCATTTTATTCCCATTGACAACAAAAACAAACAAAAATGTATCTTTTTGAAGTTAGTACATTGATTGATGGCAATATTTAATAAAAAAAAATAAAAAATTGGAGGAGATCATGTCCTACTTGATTTATCCAGATTCAAAGCGGTTTATAGTGTACACTGTGTATATACTATTGGGATGCAATTCCATTGTATTATTTATAGGTTGGCTTTCTTCTGAGCACATACATTGACATTTTACCTTATTTTATGTAAATGTGTCATATACATACACATATATAAAAATATATATATATACACACACACACACTTGGGGGGTTACCTCCAAGTGGGCACCCAGCTCAAAAGAAGAGCAGGCGTTCAGGACAGCAGTGCTGCTCATTTGTGCTGCAAGAGGTGCAGGTTGGTTTGGGCTGTTCTCTACGTAGGCCTCAGAGGAGAGGCAAGCATCAAGGTTGCCGGAATTGGGTGCTTGTACAGACACAAACTTTCTTTTATGTAGGGCTTTACCATCCTTCAACAGTTTAAGTTGCATTCAGGTTCAATGACTACGCTCGGACTAAGGGAGAATGATATGCATTCTAGTTCAAGAATTAATTGAAAGACAAGCCATCCTGTATCAAATGGTTGTAGTAGCATTGCTGGCCGATGGGAGAATTTTTATCATTTGAACAAGGGCTTTGTAAAAGTATTCTTCTCCAATCAAGTACTCTTATGGGAAAGGCTTCCTTAGCAGTGACTCAGAGACTGCCTGTGTGGCATGCAGGGAACATTAAATGTGGTTGGCTCAGTTTCGTTCAGTTTAGTGATAAAACATTATGAGTCACCAATTCCATCCACTAACACACAACATAGGAATGCCTTTCAACTCCCACCACCATCAATATCCATGATACAAACTGCTGAATTACCGCAACTCATTGTGCTGTTATAAACTGTCCTATCTCACACTTACTAATCTGGGGGCCAACACATTCCTGTAACACAACACTTGTAAAACGTATGGCTCATCCTGCAATGGCTAGTGTTTCAAAGCATAGAGGAAGCACCTATGTAGCACATGGACAGAGCTCTCCACATTAGATCACACTGTCTGAAACTTTGAGCACACGGTAATGATTAGGCTACATTGCTAAATATCAACTCTAGGTTATGGGATCATATACTTTAGAACATGAGGCATTCTGCTGATCCAATGTATGGATATTTCAGAATATGTGAAGACCTCTACAATATGAAAACATATGTTAATCTACAACTACTAGAAAGAAAAAAGGACCCAATATGTTATGGGTTATCTACATATTTGCTAGCTATGAAAGAAGGTGGTTTGATACATAGACCAATCATTAAAGTCCCCTTATAGTATAAAATTTATGACCCTTAACAATTGTGCAACAGTAAGGGCAGGCTTGAACCAGCAAACAGTCATACGCCCGAAATTCCACTAACGCATATATGAAGTAGCAAATTGTAGGGAAGAGGTTCTCTCTCACGCAGGCAGGCGACATTCTTTTTAAATCCACTAGTGGCCAGGTACATATTCATTCAAAAATGCATAGCAGGTTTTATTTTACAGACCACTCACTTCCAGTTGCCACCACATATTATAGCGATAACTAACTAAAAGAACACGCCAATCCAGTGGTGTACAAAAGAGAGGCTCCGAACCAGGTGATGGGGGTACAATCAGCCAGAGTAGGTGTCCCCTACTGGAGAGCCTTTTTTGGTTCTGGTGCCGAGGGAGTGTTTGCCTCACTCTGCACGGATTTCCTAGCTTCTTGCATGCCTCATAATGATGTTAGAGGCAATATATGACATCAACTGAGCCCCAGCAACAGTACGGAGGAGCAGGGAGCTAGGCAATCAGTGCAGAGACCATACCTCCCAAATGTCCTTATCCAGGAGGGACAGTCACTACTTTTTGCATAATTCCCTCTTTAATATTCTAATGTACCTTTTTTGTAGGAGTTTGATGTTGTTGGTGTTTCTTAGTATAAATCTCCATAGCACTAATACTCCCAGTAATGGGTCTCTAAACTACAATAGATGTGTTTAGAAATCAGCCTGTGCAAATAAGATACATTGTTCATGTTCTAGATTACATTTTACCATTAGAAATTATTATAAGTATAAATCACTTGAGATATCTCCTTTAGAGAAAGTTATTTTATACAGCCCCGCTAGTAAAGGTATTATATCCTTATGTTACTTATCTCATAATGCCAAGCCCTTAGTTAAATTAAAACATATGCTGTCATGGGAGACGGAGTTGGGTGCCCAGTACGATTTAGTAGAATGGTTCGGTTTCTTTACAGGTTTGAAAGGCATTTCGTATTGCACCGACCATTTTGAAAATCATTATAAAATCTTATATCGCTGGTACCTGGCTCCGTCTAGATTACATAACATGAACAATATGTATTCTGACCGGTGTTGGAGAGACTGTGGGGGAGTGGGCAATATGGCTCATATCTGGTGGTTTTGCCCCAAGTTAATTAATTATTGGAAAATGATCCACGATCTGATTATTAAAGTGAACGGAACCATTAGTATCTTAACCTCGGAACTAGCCTTATTTAAAAAACTCCCGGAGTCTGTTAATAGATCAGATAAAATAATCATAGGCCACATTCTGATCGCTGCTACATCCTGTTTACCTAGACATTGGAAGTCTCAAAATGTGCCATCTCTCAGAGAAGTTTTTAATTTGATTTTAGAAAATAAGGCACATGAACTATCACACAGAGCCAATATGCATGGTTTCCCAATACTAAAATACAACTGGGATAAATGGGAAGAAAAAAATCAAAACAGTTTATGGTCTTTGATATATTTATTGTTAAAGTGCATTGTTGTAAAACATTTTTCCTTTTGCCTTCTACTTTAATATGTTTATTTCATTGATGGATGGATACCCCTTCCCATTTCCATGTTACCCCTCCTTTCCTACCCCTAATACAATGTTTGTATTATTATCATTTGTTATACAAAAAAAAACTTTAATAAAAATTATTTGAAAAAGAAATTATTATAAGTAAGTCACCAATAATTTCTCAGAAAGGCCCCACCCCTGGACACGTCCCTAAAATGAAAGTGTCCCTATTTGCCCATTTAAAAAAGGTTGGCATGTATGTGAAGACTGATCTCCTGTATAAATGTGTGTATGAGTCTGTCTAAGTATATGAATGTGTTTGATAGGCATGTTCACACATGTAGAGATGGCTGTATAGACTTACACACAAAAAAAAATCTATGGGATAATTCAGAGTGATTCTCAGTATCATGCTCAAGTCAGATGCGTAAAGAGTCAGCCTAAATAACCTATGCAAAATATGCAGTTTATAGAGCAGGAGTAGGTAACCTTTTAGTAGAAATTTGCCAAAACAAGATCCTTAAGCCCCTTGAGTGTGCCAGTGCGATTTTTTTTTATTATTATTATTATTTTTTTATTAAGGCATGTGTGTTGCCACATTTTGCTTGTGTTATTTTTGGGTGCTGCAGTTGCTTTGTAGCATTGTATTTGTGCTGTTATATTGTATATGTTCTACTTGAGTAGTTTGTAGTATTGTGTATCATTCCTATGAATGTAAACTGTGTATAAGGGCTGTTTGTGAAATTGTGTCTGTGGATATGTCATGTCACATTATCGGTTTGGTGGTGTGTGTGTGTGTGTGCTTGAGGTTTTGCATGCGAGAGGCTGTTTGAGAGGTTGTGTGCATCTTTGTGGCTATGTGTGTGGCTGTTTGTATTATTTGTATGAGGGGGAGGCTTTCTCTGCAGATCTGTGTATATCTAGCACTGTAGGTGGCTTCCCTGAGGTGCAGTAGGGACTGGCCTGGCCAGGAGCTGCGATTGGCCTGGCCAGGAGCTGCGATTGGCCTGGCCAGGAGCTGCGATTGGCCTGGCCAGGAGCTGCGATTGTTTTTGCTTTCTGCTATACTCCAGTGCAGATTCACGTTCAAAAGTGATGGGAGGAAGTGATCCAAGATCACTTCCTCAAAGTGCTGCAATGCGCAAATTGAGGATTCTCCCTCACCACCTCCAATCACTGCTTAGTTTGCTCTAACAGAAATCTGAAGACTCCTGATAGGCAAGAGTATGTTTGGCCATGGCAGCCTTGAGTGCCTTGCAAAGGCACCTCAAGTGCCATAGGTTGCCGACACCTGTTATAGTGTATAGATAGAGTCCCCATGACAGAATGCCTATTCACATTGTAGCTTACGCCACTACAATTTATAATAAATAAACAACAACCAAAAAAAAAAAAAACACTTTACAACTATAAGACGGTAGGAATTTTACTTTCTCCTTTTCCATCCTACGTGTAGTGGGCACATCTCTCTCCCCATCTCTAGAGAGCCCAGGTCACAGTAGCAACTGGCAAATCAGGGCATCTCTGCACACAGCTTGATGCACAAACGGTGAATCTGATGGCAGCCACAGTACGACTTATTTTACCAGTTCTACTCATCAATGGGACAACTGATACTGCAACTGGGACAGGAAGACTTACACCATAAATCCCTGCTAGATACATTAAATCCTTCAAAGGAACAGTACCAGTTGGTGAAGCAAATGCTGATTGCATTTTGAATCATGGAGCCATAAAAACATTAAAAAAAAACATTAAAAAAAATCTAAATCAAAAAAACAACACACACCAGAAACACTTCAAAATTGTGAAAAAAAGATTAGTAAAGGCTTCATTCATAAGGGCTCTACTAGGCTCTACTATCCCCTAAAAATAAGTAAGCACTTACGTGATATCTTGCCGCTGGTAGCAGCCCTGCAGCAGACTTGCAACTAACTCACTGAGGAATTCCACGTCATCTCTGTGCAAGGCATCCTCTAATTCCTACAAAGAGGGAAGAAAAGCAGTTATAAGACAGACATTGGATGTAGAAGCATGCACTGTAACATCGTTCTACAGGACTGCATCCATCTCCAATAATACCTTAGTGATACCTAGTATTCTGCAGACCTGAACACTGATCCCACCTTCTGAACCAACATTTTAATTAGGAAGGCCACATACCCTTTAGAAGCATAAGTTAGCAATTACATCATATTCAAATAATAATGTAACGTAATGGGATATATAGTTGATAGATATGCCTGGGACAGCTTTTATACTTATAAAGAAGTTTGTTGGATAACACTGATCTGAAAAGCAATGTCCATTTGTAAAAGACATTAGCCCTGCTGAGAGCGGCCAGAGCCCCGAGAGACCAGCATTAAAATGGTTAAAGAGAAAGCAGTCTAAATTCGTCTTGCTTGAGGTAGAACTGAAACTGCTCGGGTCACCAGAAACAGTCACAATATTTCATTTATTACTGGTCACTGAGCTGTGTGATCTCCATTACAGGGTCAACACAAGATAATTTCCGAACACAGCTCACAGGAAATCGAGGAACTCCTAGAACAGCACATAGCCAAAACATTAACACACAGGGGATATGCACGGTATATGTATATTAATAGCTGAAACCACTACTGGTCTATTGGATGCTCACCTAAAATAAGGAACATGCGAGAAAGTTGAACACAAACTTTGCAGAGGATTACTTTATTATGTGCATTAGCATTTTAAATGGTCGCTTTTGAATACTTCCTTTGCCATCAAAGATCTGTCCATTTCATGCATGCACTCCTAAAACTAGGATGGACATATCTCCCTTTTACCCTGGTGAGAATAAGAACTGCTGTTTAAGAGATACGACAGACTTCCATAAACAAGATTGAAAACGTAAAGTCCTATATTCTACGAATCAGGCCTTAAAGGACCACTATAGGCACCCAGACCACTTCAGCTTAAATGAAGTGGTCTGGGTGCCTGGTCCAGCTAGGTTTAACCCTTTTTTATATAAACATAGCAGTTAATCCAGCCTCTAGTGGCTGTCTCATTGACAGCCGCTAGAGGCTCTCTCACTGTGAAAATCACAATGAGAAGACGCCAGAGTCCATAGGAAATCATTGTGAATGCTTTCCTATGAGACTGGCTGAATGCGCGCTCGGCTCTTGCCGCGCATGCAGCAGAGGAGGCGGAGAGCTCCCCGCCCAGCGCTGGAGAAAGAGGTAAGTTTAACCCCTTCCACCTCCTAGAGCCCGGCGGGAGGGAGACCCTGAGGGTGGGGGCACCCTCAGGGCACTATAGTGGTCCTTTAAAAGGTACTTGCCATTGCAAGATATACTCCATACTCTACTTGCCAGGGTTGCATTTTCACTTGAGAATGGCAAGTGAAAATTTTGATCCCTACCCATTGACTAGAATGAGAGGTTTTTGATTGGTGCAGCCTCTTTCAGGTCAGGAAGGTCAGTCACCTGTAACATATGCAAGTGCTATAGTTTTAGGATTTCTAAAGGCAACTAAATAAGTAAACTTAAAATTAAGATTTAAATCTCCCTGGGGAAGCCTATGGAAAAAAAACAAGGTATTTATGTGTTTGTAGGTATTTTATGCTGCAGTTCTCAATTTGTTTTATATACTACCACCAAGCGTGCTATAGGGTCCATTATAGGTTAGCGAAAAGGCAAAGGATTGTTGAACATTAAAAAGATGTCATGTGCTGCTCCTAGTAAAGACAAATCTGCTGTGTAATTTCATGTTCCTCAAGTAGGATGCAGTGCATACATGCATCTATGCCACTTTAACTGCCAAACTACAAAGTGCAGTATTTTATTGCCAACAAGATGTGCAGTTACATTATACTGAGATAGACCTTTGCCCCACTCAAGTTGGCAGGGAGAATGTTAAGATGTGAACATTCACAGACACTAGACAGGCCACATGGATGATTGCTTTCATTCAGCAGGTATGGAATTGGGCTCCAAGGACAGGAAATAGGATCTGGTTTGGTGAACAGTAAAAGCTGGGTTTGAGGGGGGTTAGCAATTACTGTTCCCTCCTAGGAAATGCAAGGTGATTGTATTACTCTTTAAAACGGTCATATCTTGCTTCTTGGTTTAATATTTGTTGTACATGCTTTCTTAGCAGTGATACAAATCCACTTTGCACACAGCACACATAGATACAGTCAGCTTTACTTCACACACTGAGAGCTGATAGGGATAAAAGGCTAATGTGTATAGATATATGCAGAACTTTAAACAGTTAACTGCCAGAGGGTATGAAACAGGCATTTGGCCCAATAATTTTGGGTTAGTTTGGTAAAGAAAGAGATAGCTTTAAAGAAATAAAAACTAAAAAAAAGTGTCACACAGACTATAAACATAAGTGGGGGTCGGTCTACTAAACAATTAAAGGAACACTGAAGCTTTATAAATACAAAAGTGTATTCCTAATGCTAGTGTCCTAATCAGCATTTTGGTGATAAGTCCCTGTCCCTGCTCTCTGTGACATGTCCAACCTCCTTTGTTAAGATCATTAAGCTTGATGATCTCATCCAATTCAGAGCATTCCTATAGAAAACTATTGGGAGGCTGATGTGCATGCAAGACAAAACACCACATTACACCTACCAGATGGCTATGATTGAAATAGCCAAGTTTCACGTGACTATTTTGGAGAGAGTGCTTCTAGAGGCTCTCAGAGTGGTAGCATCTAGGGCAGCGTTTCGCAATTGGGGTTCCGCCAAAAGTTGAAAAAATAAAATGGCCATGGGCGGCGAGGGAGCAGTGATCTCCCTGCTCAGCTTCCTCATGTGCACAGCAGTGATGCTGGAGCCAGAATATGATGTCACGCCAGCTCCAACATCACTAAGAGGCGCACAAGGGAGTTGAGCAGGGAGATCACTGCTCCCTTGCAGCCCGCACGCCAGCCGCTCAGCATCCCCACTGGACCCCAGGGTCTCCATGCCAGCACTCCTAAAGGTAAAGGAGCTAGGTGGAGTAAAATGTAAAAACTAATTTTTAAAAAATTGTCTGTGTCTGTTAGGGACTTTGTATGTGTTTGTGAGTCTGTCAAAAATATAAGTGTGCTCGTCAGGGAGTGAATGTGTGCTCGTCAGGGAGTGAATGTGTGCTCGTCAGGGAGTGAATGTGTGCATCTGTTTTGTCAGTGAGAATGTATCTGTTCTAGTCAGTGAGAGTGTATATGTGTTTGTATGTGTGTCTGTCAAAGAGTATGTATGTTTGTCAGTGAGAGTGTGTGTGTGTGTGTGTGTGTGTGTGTGTGTATCAAGGTTTGTGTATGTGTCACTGTGTATATCTAAGTGTGTGTAGGTGCCAGTGTGAATCAGTGTTTGTGTGTGTATCTGAGTGTATCAGTGTGTGTATGTGCCAGTGTGTATCTGTGGGTGCAAGTGTGTGTATATGGCACTAGGTGTATCAGAGTGTTTGTGAGTCAAGATGTGTGTGTCAGTTTGTGTGTATCTGTCTGTCAAGGTGTATCTGTGTGCCACTATGTGCCAGTGTGTGTGTCAGATACATATACACACAGATACACCGGCACAGAGATACACACACTGGCGCATACAAACAGATATACACACGACACACACCAGCACATACAAACACAGATACACACCCTTTGAAACATAGATACACACACCTCGACAAACAGATACACACTGTGTGTCAAGGTGTGTGTATCTGTGTGCCACTATCTGACGTTGTGAGTGTATCTGTGTGTCAGATTCATACACACTGGCAAATACAAACACAGATACACACAGATACATACAGTGCCTTGCAAAAGTATTCACCCCCCTTGACTTTTTACCTATTTTGTTACATTACAGCCTTAAGTTCAATGTTTAATTAATCTGAATGTTATGTTATGGATCAGAACACAATAGTCTAAGTTGGTGAAGTGAAATGAGAAAAATATATACATAAAACAATTTTTTAGAAATAGAAATCAGAAAATTGGCATGTGCGTATGTATTCACCCCCTTCCACAATGTTAATACACAATATCAAAGGGTTCCATTGGAAAAATTAATTGGGAACCCCTGATCTAGGGTATTCACCCTTGCAATAAAAACATCACCGTTCCTGCAGAACAGCAATGTTTATATTGCAGGATTAAAGCAAGTGGACATAGCACCCAAAGCAGTTCAATGAGATGAAGTGGTCTGGGTGCCTGCAGTGTTCCTTTACAGGGAGTTTTAAAATGACTAGGAGTCATCATCTCTAGTCTGCAAAGGTGGGGGTGTGGGAGAAACAAAAACAGAGCATTCTGTGATGGCATCTATCCCCTTAAGGACACATGACGGAACTATTCCATCATGATTCCATTTTATTTCGGAAGTTGTGTCCTTAAGGGGTTAAAAAGGGGACACACAAAGCACCCAAAACAACTGCATCTTTATAGCAGTGTTTACATTTGTCAGTTACAATGCTCGTAGACTATGGGCTATCAGAGAGCCATTTCCTCATTGAACATTTTCATGTTCCCCATCATCACATACAGCATGCCGCCACGGAGTGCTGCGAATATGTCTAATAAGAAGCATTAGATCGCAGCACACTAAGTATGTCCACAATGCTTCTCTAGGAGAAGCACTGGATTGCCCCAAATATCATCCGGCTAGGTGTTCTCAGAAGAGGAGCTGCAGCTGCTAGGATTGGATTCCCTAGTCCTAGATACAACCAAAACAAAGCTGTAAATATATATATATTTTATTTTTTACATTTTACACTGGTGCCATGTATTAAACCTCAGGAACGTCAACATTAAAAATGTACACATTTTTAAAGTTAGAGTGTTCCTTTAAAAATCTGTCATCTACTACTCTTTTAAATTTATATTTTTGTTTTTTGAAGCAACTGTGGCAGCTCCTCAACCAATATTACAATCACAATTAACCTGTGTTAAACCTCATTTACGGATATTGCCAAGTGCAGCATTGCACCCTTATCACAGAGGGTGGAAACAGAAGTGTCCAACATCCACTGAGATTGACACACCTGAATTATAAAAAACAAAACTTAAATTCAAAAATAAAATGTAGGGTGCAGGGTTTGACCACTATAATGGCCACACTCATTCTGGCTGACTGGATTGCAGAAGGTATGGCTGGAAATGCTGTCCTCTCCTGACCCTTTAACTTAACAGAAAAGAGAGGCAAAATGGACTTTACCTCTCAGGATATCAAGTCAAATCAATAGCACCATGCCAATGCTTCTCCACTCAAGAGTGTGCCCATCCCCATTCAAAGAATACTCTAGCTTTAAAATATAAATAAATAAAAAAAATGCATATATCCCTTACCCCCAATGAATACATGTGTGCATGGATTTATTAAAGAGTCTGTCACCTCAAACTTGTCTTTCTCCTATGGTTTCCTCTTCCTTTAAGAATGCTTTTTTATCTTTGCCTGACAAATCTTGACAAAGGGTGGAGTTTAAGGCAAGCTCCACTTCCTTTGCCAAACTCACAAAAGAGGTAGGGCTTGCTTCAAACTCCACCCTTTGTCAAGCGTAGAAAAAAAATACAGAAAACAAAGTAGTCCTTACTTTTTCTTATCTTTTACAAAGAAATAGATCAGAAATGAAGGGGGGCTCTCTCCCCTTTTTTTTTTTCTTGGAAGAGCCTTTTCAGTCTCTTTACAGGGAAATAAACTGTGCCTTCTGTGCATGCACACAGGTTTAAAGTCTGTGCAAAGCAATGAGGGATAAGGCAGGTGCGCTAAAGTAGCCCCTGAGTGAACGGAAGAAAGGGGAAAAAAATTAATATCTCCCTGGGTGACAGACAGGAAATTTAAATTGGCACATTTATAAAATAGCTTTAAAACAAAATTCTCAGGGGGCTGGGCCTGACTGCTGCTCAAGATGGTCGCGTGTAACGGAAGCTCCTCAGGGAAACCAGATTCCTGAATCCGAGCTTAAATAGAGGTGTTTTATTTCTGGCACAAACCTGCTTAAACCTACTGAGGAACAGCCAGACAAAGATTTGGCCTACTTCGGCGCGACTCTGGTGGGCACAGACCAAAGAAGACCTCTTTGCGGTCTATCAACAAAATTATAAACGCAAAACTTTTGTTTTTGCCCCCATTTTTCATGAGCTGAACTCAAAGATCTTAGACTTTTTCTATGTACACAAAAGGCCAATTTGTCTCAAATATTGTTCACAAATCTGTCTAAATCTGTGTTAGTGAACAGTTCTCCATTGCCGAAATAATCCATCCACCTCACAGGTGTGGCATATCAAGATGCTGATTAGACAGCATGATCATTGCAAAGGTGTGCTTTAGGCTAGCCACAATAATTGTCCACTCTAAAATGTGCAGTTTTATCACACAGCACAATGCCACAGATGTCACAAGTTTTGAGCGAGTGTGCAATTGGCATGCGGACTGCAGGAATGTCCACCAGAGCTGTTGCCCGTAAATTGAATGTTCATTTCTCTACCATAAGCCATCTCCAAAGGTGTTTCAGAGAATTTGGCAGTACATCCAACCAGTCTCACAACCACAGACCATGTGTAACCACACCAGCCCAGGACCTCCACATCCAGCATCTTTACCTCCAAGATAGTCTGAGACTAGTCACCCGGACAGCTGCTGCAACAATCGGTTTGCATAATCAAAGAATTTCTGCACAAACTGTCAGAAACCGTCTCAGGGAAGCTCATTTGCAAGGTGGATGTATTATTTCGGCAAAGGAGAAGTGCTCACTAACACAGATTTAGGCAGATTCGTGAACAATATTTGAGAGAAATAGGCCTTTAGTGTACATAGAAAAAAAATCTTAGATCTTTGAGTTCAGCTCATGCAAAATGGGGGGGGGGGACAAAAGTGTTGCATTTATAATTTTATTCAGTGTAGGTATTAATTCTGCCTAGATGAGCTCTTGGGTCAAATAAAATATATGAAAATTCACTTTACTAGTACCTAAAAATGTTTCTGCAAATGTGAAACACAGTAAAACATTGGTTTGACAATGTGGCGGCTTACTAATGTTGTTGTGACATTGTGAGCATACCTGTATTCATAAGCACAACAAAAATAAAGAATTATGAAAATTAAAATAGGATTCTCCATAAACATAAAGCACTTCTCTTGCCACATATATTTCAGCACTTGCTCCATTCCACATTCCAAGAGTTACAGACACCAGTGGCAGAACACAATTTTGTGTGCCGCTCCAAACCTCCCCCCCTTCCCCCCGTACCAACTCACCCCTGTCCCTCTGGTTGTAAGGCTGACACATGTAAAGACTATAGTATTTGTTGATAAAGAGCATTATTTTTTTTTTTATGAACATGTCTGACCACGATATAAAAAAAAACTAACTGGTGAGAAATGTAAGCATGTTTAGTGTATTTGAATGTATGATGTATGTATGTATGTATGTATGTATGTATGTATGTAGTGTTGTAATTTGAATGCATTTACAGGTATATGTATTTGAAAGCAGCGGTGTACTTATGTTTAGTGTTTGAATATGTTTGTATGTAGAGGAGGTGTTTGATTGCTGGGATGTATGCACATACACTGTCTCACAGACAAATAAATACACACAGATATACATAAATAACAAATACACACACAGATCACAATTTACAGATTTTTGTAGCCATCCCCTTCTTCCAATACCTTTTTTTGTGCAGGAGGGTGGCTTCCCTTAAATGGACACTATAGTCACCAGAACAACTACAGCTTATTGTATTTGTTTTGGTGAGTAGAATCACTACCTTCAGGCTTTTTGCTGTAAAAATTGTCTTTTCAGAGAAAATGCAGTGTTTACATTACAGCCTAGTGATAACTTCACTGGCCACTCCTCAGATGGCTGTTAGAGATCCTTCCTGGGTCATGGCTGCCTAAAATGCATCCAAACATTCAGTATCTCCTCCCTCTGCATGCAGACACTGAACTTTCCTCATAGAGATTCACTGATTCAATTCATCTCTATGAGAAGATGCTGATTGGCCTGTGTTTTAATCATGCTGGTTCTGCCTCTTTGTCAGTCTCAGCCAATCCTATGGGGAAGCATCGTGATTGGATCAGGCTGCCGCTTCTGCTGATGTCAGCAGGCAGGTCTAAAGGAAACAAAGCCAGAGCTAGAAGCTCCAGACTTGAATACAAGTAAGATTTTACATTTTTTTAGGGAGGCATGAGGGGACCAGGGTAGCTAGATGGTAGTTTTAACCCTATAGGGTCAGGAATACAGGTTTGTGTTCCTGACCCTATAGTGCTCCTTTACGTCTAGTGGCACCTGGCAGAGTCTGATCCTTGCATTCCCTCCTCTCTATCCCCCAAAATGGCCAGAAATAAAACTCAACATTTTAAAAAGACAAAAAGGGACACTTTAATTTGAGGGATGTGAGTAGGGTGTGTGGCTAGGGGTGGGGCTATTGGGAAAATGTATGTAACTTACTATCTAGTTATGCAACTGTCATTTAAACAAGAACAATCTAGCTTATTTACACAGACTGAATTCTAACCATTACTGTGAGTATTATTGCTGTGAAACTGTTATACACTAACACACACAGAAGGCTGGGCTCCTAGAAAATACTGTCAGACGAATTTGGGCAACTGCCCCTCCCTAAACAGAGACAGTTGGGAGTTATGCCATAATTACTTATAAAAGGTGCTATGGTTTTGACATTTTTCCATCTCCCTCCTACCCATCTATTCTATTCATTTCTGATTATATACTCATTAATATAAAATGTGCAGTTATACTTGTATGTTATGTTTCTACTGTGAGATTATAGAGATTTATATACCTATACACACACACACACACACACACACTGAACAAGAAAGAGCAATAAATAAAATGTAGCATAACAGTTTGGTTAGAACAATGTGTATATTTTGTTTACAAAACGCCACCACGTCATAATTGCACTGCAGGTGCACTTTCTAAAGACCAACATTTGATCATGACACAGGTTGTTTTGAGCCAGAGGGGCTACATAACAGCTTACAAAAGATAGAACATTTTTGAGTTTAAAGATTGTATTTTTTGGTTTAAGGGCTTTATGCCTCCACACCTGACAGCTGCTTGGCCATGACACACATTCAAAAAACAACAACAAAAAAGCCCTGAACTACCCACATTTTATCACCACATTTCAAAAAGCAATAAAAAAAAAAAGGGCTACAAAAACTCACTCAGAACACTATAAAAACAAACAAAAAGCATCAAACTGTACACATCCTTCCAGAGTGTTCAGAAAAACACTTTCCAAAATTTTACAATAAGCTCCCAACAAATGATTGTGTCTCATCTCATCTCAAATGGCTCAGTCTCATCTCTTCACAGTTGCCATCTTCTGATTCATAAATGACTAAAAACTATTTTATATTTAGAGGAAGCAGATTTTGATACAGATTTCATACAATGTATTTATTATTACTGCCATTTATAAGCCAATTTTTATAAGCTATGTTAATGACTTTCTGTGTTTATATGCAGCTTTAGAAGGGGGAGGGGGAGCAGGCAGATATGGCTGCGTTGATACCTGATTTAGCCACTTGGGTATGAATTACTATAATACAGTAACACCAACTGACTGACACAAAACACCTGTCACTTGTGAAGGTTGCAATCCATTACAATGCTTTCCTATGGACGCTTGCGTGCTCTCACTGTGAAAATCACAGTGAGAAGCACGCAAGCGCCTCTAGTGGCTGTCAATGAGACAACCACTAGAGGATTAGGGGGAAGGCTTAACCCATTCATAAACATAGCGAAACTGCTATGTTTATGAAAAAATGGGTTAACCCTAGAAGGACCTGGCACCCAGATCACTTCATTAAGCTGAAGTGGTCTGGGTGCCTAGAGTGGTCCTTTAACGCCAGATGCGACTAAGGTGTTGGTCCATTCCACTGTCCGTTCTCGCCTTGACTACTGTAATCCGCTTCTCAGTGGTCTTACGTGCTCCCAACTTGCGACGTTACAGTCCATAATGAATGCGGCGGCGAGGCTCATCTTCCTGTCCGCCCGCACCTCCCATGCCTCACCCTTCTGTCAGTCCCTACATTGGCTTCCTATAAAATATAGAGATCAATTTAAAATTCGGGTTCTTGCTTTCAAATCTCTACATAATGCTGCTCCCACCTATCTATCCTCCCTTATACACAAGTATGTCCCATCTAGGCCCTTACGATCTGCTGAAGACTTACGTCTATCTTCAGTCCGTACTCCCACCTCTGATGCTCGCCTTCAAGATTTCTCAAGGGCTGCACCACTTCCCTCCTCTGTTAGATGCTCACCCAGTCTCCACTCCTTCAAAAAATCGTTAAAAACCCACTTCTTCATAAAAGCGTATCAATTAAACTGTTAATAGCTCCTGACTGATTCCTCTTCTGCAACTGTCATTAGTCTAATACTATTCTTACCTTTTTGTGTCATTTTATCCCACTCCCTCTAGCATGTAAGCTCATTGAGCAGGGCCCTCAACCCCTCTGTTCCTGTGTGTCCAACTTGTCTGGTTACAACTACATGTCTGTTCGTCCACCCATTGTAAAGCGCTGCGGAATCTGACGGCGCTCTATAAATATCATAATAATAATAATAATAATAATAATAATAATAATATCAGTCCTGATTGTTAAATGATGCACATGTCTAGTATCTGAATACATTTTTGGTAGCTGACACTTTCTCTATACCAACTCTACCTATACCCTCTCCACGGGCTGCTTCGATGGTTGAGATTATCAATATTTCAGCCAATCCAATGTTTTCCCTTTGGAAAGCATTGGGAGACTATTGTGTATGTGTGGCAAAACAACACATTTTGCCAATCAGATGATCTCTATGAAACCTTTTGAAAGAAATAGCTGAGTTTTGTCAGAGGAGTTAGGAAAGCATAAGGGTTAATGATGTTTACATTTAGGGTTAGTCTAAAGCTAAGGTTATGACAGGTATAGGGTTATGGGTAGGGTTGGTCTATTGTTAGGTGTAGTGTTGGTAAAGGGCAGGTGTAGGCAACCTTTGGCACTCCAGATGTTGTGGACTACATCTCCCATAATGCTCTTACAACCATAAAACCAGAAAAACTGCACTGTTTATATTGCATGGTTAAGATGGTCTCTAATGGATGTCTACCAGAAAGCCACTAAAGACACTTAGTGCTGTTTCATGGAGTTTAAGTCTGTGAAATGACACTGTGCACACGGACAACCAAATACTCACGCTGTGCATACGGAACGCACTAATTCAATGATTTCCTAAGGGAAAGGCTTAATGGGCAAGCGGCGCTAGAATAAGGTGAGTGTTTTAACCCCTTAAGGACACATGACATATGTGACATGTCATGATTCGCTTTTATTCCAGAAGTTTGGTCCTTAAGGGGTTAAAGGGAGTTTTAACACTTTAATTGCAAGGCAGGGAGAAGAGGGTATTCCTAACACTACAGTGTTCCTTTAATCACACACAGGAGGCTCCTGCAGACTCTAGAAGATTATGAACGGAGCAGGAGATAAAAAATTCTAAATTAAACAGTCTGTGTTATACAGGAAGTTAAAATTAGAGGTCTCTTTACAGGAAGTGTTTAGTAACAATGTAAGTCACATGCAGGGAGGTGCAAATAGGGCTGCATAAACAAAAGTGATTTAACTCCTAAATGGCAGGGAATTGAGCAGTGAAACTGCAGGGTCATGATCTATACACCAAATCCTCTTCATTAAGCTAAAATTGTTTTGGTGCCTATAGTATCTTTAATCACCCTTATAAACTATGATCACTATTGGCAGATCCAGATTTTATTTTCCCTTACTGGTGGTCTCCCAGTGTTGGTGCTCTGTTCGTAGCATTGATACGTGCTGTATAACAATTCTACAAATGCCACATAGGAGAGTCTATTCTCTAAAGGAATGGTGTGAACACTATCATGGGAGACGTTGTCCAACAGGCAAAGCCAGAGGAGCACAATGTTATGCTAGATCAAGGAGAGTCCTTTTCCTCCATGTGACAGCTGACAGTAATGTTTACAGTGATACAACATGTGGACAGCAGGCCAAGCTTTCTCTCTGTGAGCCAGTATGCAAAATTCGTCAAAACATTAGCCAGGGTGATAAGAGTCATAGTACAACAAATGATAAATTGCACGTACACGGCACAGTTTATTATAGCAATATTGAAGCCACTGAGGAAATGCTGAGGAAAGTCTAGGTGTTTAGTCACTTTACACTAACACTGGATTGTTATTTCCTCTGGCATTAAAGGTGTTAAGTATCCCAGCTGTCATTGCAGCTATTCAGAGTTTTACTTCTGCGGCTGTGGCTTTGGACAGACAGGGTGGCAGCAGGGGGGGACTCCACACAGGGAGGGAGGAGGCTGTGTGAGGACCCCTCTCCCATTATGCATGCACATGCAGCAGCCTCTTTTGGACTCCAGAAGCCCCTCACACAGCAGAATTAAACAAACATGAAATGAAAGGCAAGCTGATAAAAGAAAGCCCTTTAACACCAGCCTTGGGCCCTGTGGAGTGCTGGAGACGCCTCAAACAGTCCTGGGGAGAGAGAAACAAAAGGAGCAGAGACAAGAGACAGGTCTCCTCCCTCTCTGTCCAGCATGCTTAACCTAGGGGTATGGGAGGTTCATACCCAAGCACACAGACCAGTCTAGCAAGGGGGAATGAGAGTCAATGGACTGCTCTACTTATCAATGACGTGTTTGCAATATCAAGGGGTCACTAATGTAGTGAGTGAACCAGTTAATGTACTTACAGCTTCATAATAATATACCACCCGTGGAAGCACGACAATATTTCATTATAGTTGCATTCATAAAACAAGGTAATGAACTCCATTCAGGTTTGACAACTAGCACCTGGGAATCTAATACAATAGCAACTCAAGTTGAACATTGTTTCTCAGTTCTTAAAGTTCCTAGCTCAGTCAACAGGTACCGCTACACCTTCCAAATATCTCTAGATATGATAAATAATCAGGCATTCTTTTGGTGAGTCAAACAGCTGGCTAAGCAGGCACTGAGGGTAGTGGTGTTGTGGAGACAGGCTCAGGCACTGAGGGTAGTGGTGTTGTGGAGACAGGCTTGCAGACTATGGTGAGGCCTATTAGAAAGCAGTTGTTGGGGGATTCTATCATAAGAGGTATGGAGCTGGACAATAGTGGTCTTGTGCGATGTCTTCCCGGAGCTACTGCTCACAGAGACAGGATACGTATCTGTAATATTGTTAAGTGAGCAAAGCAGGAAGGGGAATTGGATGTATTTGTCCATCTAGGAACAAATGACTTGACTTGCAATGAGGTTTTAGAGGTAAAGGAAGTTTTTTGTGTTTTTGGCAATGATATAGGGCAGGTTGCTTCCACACTGTCATTCTCTGAAGTTCTGCCTGTGCATAACACTCAGATCGACAGGCAGATGCGTATTAGGGACTTTAACTTGTGGCTTGGTGAATGGTGTCGGCCGAAAGGATTTGGCTTCATTTCTCATGGTAGCTCTGTTTGGAATGGAGATAAACTGTACAAAAAAGATGGTTTGCATCTTTCTCAAAAGGGAACAAATGTTCTCAGTGAGCAGTTCAGAGGTTTTGCTAGGATGTATTTAATCTAGGAGGGGAGAGAAGGAAGGTATGTAGAAGAGGATAAAGGTCTAGCTGACTGCCTCAATTAATATTTTTGTTCAGTATTTACAGATGAAAATGAAGGAAAGGGGCCTCAGTTAGGAAAAAGGACAAATTAGTGATTTGTTACATGTGAGTTTACAGAGGAAGAGGTTCTATTTCAACTTTCAAAAGTAAAGACAAATAAAAGTTATAGGACCAAATGGAATACACCAAAAGTTATTAAAAGAGCTTAGTGGTTTTCTAGCAAACCCATTAACAGATTTATTTAACCAATCATTGTTAACAGGAGTAGTCCCATAATATTGGAGGCTAGCGAATGTTGTGCCCAGTCACAAGAAAGGTAGTAGGGAGGAGTCTGGCAACTATAGGCCAGTAAGCCTTACTTCAGTAGTGGGGAAAGTAATGGAAATCATGTTAAAATATAGGATTATTGAACATCTAAAAATCACATGGATTTCAAGATCAGAGACAACATGGGTTTACTTCAGGGAGATCATGCCAAACTAATCTTATTGCTTTTTTTGATTGGGTAACTAAAATTATAGATCAGGGTGGTGCAGTAGACATTTCGTACCTAGATTTTAGTAAGGCTTTTGACACTGTTGCATCAATAAACTGCAATCTTTAAGTTTGGATTCCAATATTGTTGCATGGGTAAGGCAGCGGCTGAGTGACAGGCAACTGACACAGTGGGATAACTAATGGGATATAGATGGAATCATAAAAGGTATTTAACCCCTTAAAGAACCACTATAGGCACCCAGACCACTTCAGCTTAATGAAGTGGTCTGGGTGCCAGATCCACCTAGGATTAACCCTTTCTGCTGTAAACATAGCAGTTTCATAGAAACTGCTATGTTTACTTTAGGGTTAATCCAGCCTCTAGTGGCTGTCTCATTGACAGCCGCTAGAGGCGCTTCTCACTGTGATTTCACTGTGCGTCCATAGGAAAGCACAGTTCTTGCCGCGCATGCGCATTCAGCCAATGACGGAAGAAGGGGGAGGAGATTCTCCAGCACCGAGGGAGCCCGGCGCTGGAGAAAGGTGAGTGCTTAACCCCTTCCTCTGCATCCAGCCTGGCGGGTGGGGGACCCTGAAGGTGGGGGCACCCTCACGGCACTATAGTGCCAGGAAAACAAGTATGTTTTCCTGGCACTATAGTGGTCCTTTAAGGACACATGACATGTGTGACATGTCATGATTCCCTTTTATTCCAGAAGTTTGGTCCTTTAAAGGACCATTAAAGTGCCTGGAAAACAAACTCGTTTTCCTGGCACTATAGGGTCTTTAGGTCCCCCCCACCCTCAGGGTCCCACTCCCGCCGGGCTGAAGGGGTTAAACACTTACCTTACCTCTCTCTGCCGACATCAGCGCCGCATGCGCATTCAAACAGTCCATAGGAAAGCATTTCTCAATGGTCTCCTATGGACGTCTAGCGTCTTCTCGCTGTGATTTTCACAGTGAGAAGCGCAGAAGCGCCTCTAGCGGCTGTCAGTGAGACAGCCACCAGAGGTTGGATTAACACTCAGTGTAAACATAGCCGTTTCTCTGAACAATCTTAAAATAATGTAAACCAGATCCTGTGTCATATTTAATAAACACAAATAGATTTTAAAGTGGACGACAAAGATGCACGCGTGGAGAGTTTGCAGCAGTCTCCTAAGCAGGTATGGATGGTTTCTTTCACAGTCAATTACCATAGAAATAGGCAACCATGTAATGTGTAAAGCACACTAAGGTGTGGGAGAACTACTGTTTCACTCAACAGATCCACATGGACTACACACATGTTAATTTCTTGTGTTTACATTTTAACTGCCCTATAGTTAAACTGTTAAATAGAGAATGTAATCCAGTTAATGAAAGGTCTCAGGACACCACAACCACATGAGTAGTCTGAACAAATTAAGGTTTATCCATTCTAATTAAACAAGGAGACTTCCAACTAGCCTAAAAGGACATTTTAAATTCCCTAGTAATCTGATCATACTTTACATAACTTTCCACCGGCCAATGCTGACAATTATAGGTTTTAAGATTTTGTGAGAGATCCTGTATGCATAATATCGTTAAAGCAGATGTATAGATTTCAGATTATACAGGAAATAAAGAGAATACACATTTTTTGACAAGTCAGTGGTCACATGGGGGGAGGGGACCTGTTGTAATCCCATTATGATTACAAGTGGAAAGCCTGACTGGATTGGTTTTAAAATGATCGAAGGTGCCCCCATATCTGATGAAGAATAAAGGTTCAAATATTTTAACTTTTTGAAATACATAGATATAATTATTTTCCATGAATGCTTTAGGATAAAATGCAATATATTTTGTTTCTGATAAAACCTACTCCCTTTCACCAGAAAGGCACCCAGAACACTTTAGCTCAATTAAGTGGTGTGGGTGCAGTGGCTCTTTAGTTTTAATACTGAAAATTAAAACATTGCCATTAAGTAGATACAGCAATGCTATGACGCAGGGTTAACACACCTCTAGTGGTTGTCTGACAGCCACTAGAAACGCTTCCCCTGTGAGAACAGACTCATACTCCGTAGGAAATCAAATGCTGCTCATAGAAAGCATTAAAGCAGCACATTGTTGGATTGGTTGAGATCATCAATCTTGATCTCAGCCATGTAGACTGGTGCGGCTAGCGTTGAAATGTAAGTCGCTTTTTTTTTTTTTTTTAAATAATAATTCAAATGGCCTGGAGTGGAGACCTAAATAGTTACCATAGCGTTAGGAATATATATTTGTATTACTAATGCTATAGATTTCCTTTGACAATCAGAAATTGACGAGATGTGCCACATTATATACACTATTATAATTGGTTCCTATTTATAATTGGTTCCTATTATGACAATAATTATATTTATAGAGACACCATATTACTTGTGTCGACCTCCCCCCCCACCCCTTATTATATATAATTATATATTGTGACATTTATAAAACTGAATTTAACTAACACTTAGTGCCCACCTAACATATCACTGGCAAATGTGCTTTACACTGCAGTGCAGAAAAATGTGATTCAAGCAATGCATCACGATCAAAAAGCAAGCAAAATTTTCACAATATTATCATAGGTGTAACTCAATTTTGGCAAAATTGCAAGCTACATAGTGAGTTGCGTTAACTGCTCTCAAAAGCAGAATTCAACAGTAAAACAAATGCTTGAGAATTTACCAATATTGTTTCTTGCATTTAAATAAATTCTGAGAACAATAACAGTTTAAGGAACCTCACAAGCATCCCTATACAGAAGGTCTATACTAGTAAGACATTTGCAAATCACACAGAGAAAATGCCTATAGCAGTGCATCATGGAAAAACACCTTCCTACACAGCAGCAGTGGCAAAGTTAGCCATTACTGTCCTATAACTTTTGGTTACTATTAATTTTCAGTTTTAAAAGGCATTGCAAAATAAAATTTAGGATTAGGATGCAGGTGGAATGAAATGTTGACATCAAGAGTACTAATGTTAGCAACCCATGTAGAATGATCTGATTAAGTTTGCAGACAATCACATAAATGTTTGAAATCTGTGCAGTGTTAGCAGATGCATTTTACTGGTCACAACAGAACATAACCTTCTAACCTGTCTTACATTGTTACTGATAAATTCAGAAGGTGCAGCAGCTGAAATGTTTTTTTGTTGTTTTTAAAAAAAAAAAGTTATTTACTTACCTTTCAGCGCCGGTAACCTCCATGTAGTTCCGCCTCTTTGGTTGTGATCATCATTGTTGATTATCTCAGTAAATGTGTGTGTGTCTGTCAGTATGTGTGCATGTGTGCCTGTCAGTAAGTGCGAGTGCGTGTTTAGGTGACCTGCCCCCTCCAATTATATGGGAAAGGTGTTTTTACTCAGGCCATGCTGGTCTTGCCATGGCTGGCACCATCTTCATAGGAAAGCACTGGTGGACTATTGCGCATGAGCAGCAAAAACACCATGCTGCGCCAATCAACATCTCCTCATAGAGATACATTGAATCAATGTAATTTAGATTTTATTCTACCTAATATTGTGTTCTATATATTAATATATGTTGTGAAATGAAAGCCCTATTTCTCCTAAACAAAATTATATATAGTAAGTGTGGTGCTCTTGGCATTGAAAGAGGTAAATTATAGTTTAGGAGGGGTTAAAACCCCTTCAGCCACTTACCTTAATCCAGCACCAGGCTCCCTTGGCGCTGGAGACCTCTTCTTCCCCTGCCGACATCAGCTCCAGAGTGGAGCCGAATGTGCATGCGGGGCCAGAGCCGCACACACATTTAACCCGCCCATAGGAAAGCATTACTCCTCAGGGAGACAGCCACTAGTGGCTGGATTAACCCTGCAATGTAAACCTAGCAGTTTCTCTGAAACTGCTATGTTTTTGGCACAGAGGGTTAAATCTAAGGGGACCTGGCACCCAGACCACTTCATTGAGCTGACGTGGTCTGGGTGCCTATAGTGGTCCTTTAAGACGTTAATAAACTACAATAATTGTCAACCTAGGGTTCTAGCTGTATCCAGCATGCACACAGCCATTTGTTGGCAAGCGTCTGAACAACTGCATGGTAAGATGGAGCTCAACTGATAAACGGCAACTAAGTAACCAACAGGATTTATAAGGGATGTGACAAGTGGAATAGAATTTAAGAAAAAAAATAAAATGACATGTCCATTCATCAGGTGTCCACGATTCACTCCATGGTATATTTAATCACAGGGTAATATACCCTTTTCAGTCACATTTCCCAAATCCCCTCACCCCAGGTCTCCAGAAAAGAGTACCAGGACGGAGCAGCCCCAGCACCAAGGCACTGTGGTTACAGCAATAACAAGTGTTGGCAAATAGTTACACCAATAGTAAAATGTAAAGTGCTAAATGAAAAGGGGTGTTTCTAGTCCTACGCTAGTAGCCAGGTCTAAAAAATGTACTCGCCATTGCAAGCCTAGCAAACTGAATGAACCTGAGTTTCACTGATTTACAACTGGTTTGTCACAACTTGTTTAAGACTACTAAACAGTGCATTGCCCTGACCAAACAGTGGCAAGTTAACCATCATAATAGGTGGAAATCAAGCAGCATGAAAGGGTAACAATATCATGGAAAAAGATAGCGCATCTTTCAAAGTAGGTGTGAGTGCACAGATCAAGATGCCACCTGGAATATCCCTTCATATTAAGATCAGCTGTCACAACCTGAATCTCCGGATAAAAACTGGAAAAAGTGCCACCAAGAAATCTTAGTAAAAGAACTCATAAGCTTTCCTTGCTTTGTTGCGGTCAATTTTACTTTTACCAAGGACTCAACATTCCAGCCAGGTCAATGGCAAAGTGTATTAAAGTTTAGGACACAACCCTGGCTTTATCACATGGCAAAAAATTAACTATCCACTAGCTCAATACGGTGTTCAGCAATTGTGATACCATTATAAAGTGCCAGAGATGTTGCCAAACCATCACAGAGAGAAGAGAACATGAGGATAACAGAGAGACGAGTAGTTAGGTGTAGTAGAGGGAAGTAGAAGTAACACAACACTCCAAACACCATAACCACAACAGCACACTATAATGATTACGGTGTCAGGGGTGCCCTTGCATGCTCTTAATGCAAGTAGTAAAAACCATTTAGTAACAGTTTTGACTTCTTTGCTGGAAACTCTATAAATTGAGCTAAGCCTGATGGTGCAGGCTCTGGGGTGTAAGCAGATCTATGGAGACGTGCCAGTGATACAACTTGCATCACCAGCAATGCTTTGCCCCCACCCCCAAATGGCACACCAGGTTGACGGACAACATCAGTGAAGAGCTCCATTAGGAGCTGCATATGCTCAACACCCTCTGCATGAGCTCAATGTCCAGACAGAAAATGTATGCACTTGTGCTACACTGATTGAGGACATTTCCCTGGGATTTCCAGATGCATGACACCAGGGAACAAACAAATTCAGAACATTCCCGCAGACCCAAGGACAGTTAGAAAGTATATCACTGCAGTGTTTATGGTGCAATGAGTCCCCGGTTAGTTTTAGAACAATATTACAAAGCAAACGCTCTAATTTGAGCCTCTATTGTACAGCTCAGCTAATGCATAAGTGCACTTTAGCATTAATTTGTCTGACCTTGATAGGCTGGAAATGCTGGACAGACTTCTGTACAGCCCTCTCAGTCTATCACTGTCATCCAAATCTGAATAGCTAAGGAGGAAGTTCACTTCTGTATTGTCAGACCCACAGCAGAATGTCTGTGTTTTTGGTGCTGGGAGAATTCTACATTTTGTTAAATGGTAACTCCAACCTCCATCAACACTTCTACTTTTAGAAGTGGTCATGAAACAAGTAATCTGTAAACGCAGCGTTTCTGCTCGAAGAGTGAGACATCTGCTATTTTGTGTGGCGGTCTAGTTACACCCCCAGTACACTTTAGTACGGAACTCTGTTTGGACTGACTAATGTTAATTCTGTGCAAAAATTACACCTGTCGTCAGCACAGATCGCACGTTGACTAAAGACTTAATCTGCTTCAATCCTTGCAGGGAGAAGCCTGTATGTTTCCTCATTTGTTCCTTCCCAGCCCTGCCCACATTCTCTGTCAAGTATCCCCAACCTATGAACACCCAGCTCACCCCACACTTCCTCCACTCCTGGGCTCTGAGCAGGGGACGTGAGTTCTGAGTCTGTGAAAACAGTCCAATCAAATGCTTTGATTTAGTAAACTGTGATCATTACCTTAAAGGAAGACTTCAATCACCATAACTAGTACACCGTGCTGTAGTGCTTATGGTGCCAGAAGTACAATGGCCTCCACCCAATGTAAGTAGTCAGATTGCCTTAGAATTGTTTAATTTCTTACCAGAGTCTGTCAGGCCATGCTTGCAACTTCACACTACATCAGCCAGAAAACAGTCTGGGTGGGAGGCTAAGCTCATTGGCGGAGAGAGATCAGCTGCATGTTCAGCCAATCTTGCACAACAGGGCTCGCATCAGGAACGTAAAGGGAGCTCCTAAGGAGAATATTCTGCCTGTCTGGCTGATGTAGTGGAGGTAAGGAGCAGCGCCCAACAGAGACCCAGGTAAGAAACTAAAATGGTTTGCCAACTTACACAGGGTGTGTGCCAGGGCACTCGTGACACCAATATACAGTTACTACACATATATGCACCTATATAGTGTAGCAAAAATGACAATTTGACATAGAGTAATGCAGTGGAATTAGATTCAAGTTGCATCACAGGCACACCTCTCCATCAATCTGCCCATATTCCAGAGCCTGCACTGTCAGAGCCTGCAAACTCATCAATAAGATTAAAATCCAGGTGACTGATACACAAACAATACAATATATAACTCCTAACCAGCTGAATACAAGCGTTTTACATGTAAGTATGCCATATAGCTCATTAAGAACAATATTACTTTCATTTATGCATATCTGTAGGCCAACAAGAAACAGTTCTTCAATTGCATCCCTAATATTTCCTCTGGGTCAAATTAATTCTAGATTAAAGTCACATGACCAGAGAGAACACAGAATTTAACATATTTGTTGCAATACCATCAGAAATTTGTTTTACGACTGATTTTAGGACAGTCAAGCCCCAAGAAAAGAGAATAGTGACGGTACTAGAAAGTTTTCATTTTAATTATATTTAAGCCACAATAATTAACACCTCTATTCTACTTGTCTCTTGTTTATGTATGTTCAAAGCTATTGAAGAATGAGTAAGACAAAGACTTGCTTAATTTTGTTCTGACTAAACCTCTGAAGCATGCAAATAATGCATTTCCTAGGTGGAACACCACTTAACTTTATACTTTGGGCCCCTGGCAATAAAACAATTAATACTTTCAATCCATGCAAATATCTCTAGAAACTAGTTTGTCTCTGACCCTAAGAGAGAAAGCTATGAGAATATATATGGGACTTTTTCTCCACTCCTCCCTGTAAGCCATGGGCACTTGTATACAACCCCATGCTGAGGTCCTGCTGAACTTTTGACCTGCCCATAGTTTGCTCTGCTTTAACCGATTCTGGGCCAAGGAACTCAACCTCCACATTGCTGTTTCCTATGCAATATGCACAACCCACGTGCCTTATTCATTGAATGCTGCAAACTGCTCAATAAGACAGCTCTTGCCAAAACAATTCATATTGTGTACAGGCCTATGACAGAGTAACTGGGCATAGTAATAGACACATGCATGAGATTAACACTGACTTGTTTTTGTTTTATCAATTTTATAGGTTTAGTAGCAATGTCTCCTTCCTATTCATTCATATTGATGACATACATAATCAATCCTACCCTAACAAACTATAAATTATTTTCTCTTCATTAGGTAATTATATAGCAATATAATACACAAGAACAATCAGGTTCACAAATTGTGTTTACATTGTGATAAATAATGAGCCAACAAATCAGTTTATAATTTGATTTTCCCTTATGACATGGTTAAACCTCACTCCTGTGCCCTGATTATTGTTACTGGGTTCTTAAGCAATTAAGAGGTTAAAACGCCACCCAGGGCAGTTTGAAAAGAGCACTGTTGTATATCACAAGCAAAAGGCCCGAGAAGTGGGGGTTGTTAGGAACACCTGCACCTACCCAGTGCCAAGGTTCCTCCCCCATTATTGCCCCATAAACAACATAGTAAAAGGCAGTGAAGCTTAAGCTACAAGACAACGCAATCGTGGAACTACGTCCTCTTATTGTGAACCTACTGCACAACAAAGATAATTGCAATACTAACAGACACTGAGATACATTATATGTCAATTCAGGCCACATTTCCTAAAAAAAGCCACTGTTTAAAAGGGTATGCACACAGGATGGAGGAAGCCCTATTCAGAGATGTAGACAGACTATGGAAATCTTACAAATAACAGTAGGTTGACCACTTTCTCATTTCAGGATGACTATATCAAGTCAATGAAAAATCCTCCGTCACCCTATGCATTTTTCCTGCTACTACCCAAAGGGTATAATTATTGCTAGTGTATTGCTTACATTAAATGGAGCTTAAAGAGATCTGATAAACAAAGTAACAAAAGGCTTTAGACAAATGTGCATTTGCATTAAGTTCTTTGTCTCTATGCACCATAGTCTGCTATTAATATCTCCCCAGACCACAACAAACACGGTTTGATCAATTTATTTTTAGTGTGTTGCAAAACAGGAGGCACTGGTATTTATCAATAAGGGTAACTGCTGCAACCTATTGATCTCTGTCAGACCTGGGCCTATTTAGTCATGAATACCACCAGTCAGCAGCTATCCAAGCTGCTACTGTCAGCACAGAGGGGAAGCAGCTGAGGGACTGTGCTGATGGAGATAACTTATTCACTGAAACTTTAAAACCAATACGTGGCATTTTAAAAGAACAAATTCAGATTCAACCTCTTATTAAATTAGAGCAGTGCTATATTTACAGCAGTCCTCCCAATTTTCCTGCTATTGTGCTGTAGTGGCTTTTGCTCTAGAACAGCTATAAGTAGTCAAACCATTTTACTGTGGTTTGACAACTTAGATGGGTCCCATGGCCTGCCTGCACAACATTCGGTGTTCTCCGGTCTCTATAGAATAAAGCACAGTGAATACAGGATCGCACTCAATGTTCAAGAGCACTTAGCTGACGTTTTCAGCCAGCCCTGCATGACCTACAGACTTTTCTCTATGTAGGTGATGCATTCACAGGCACCTGGCTGGACCCAGTGAAGCTATTAAACAGTACTGAAGCGGCTTGACTACTTAACTTGAAACGGCGCCAGGGCACTCCTGAGGGCTGTAGTGTTTATAGTGCTTGGAGTGTTCCTTTAAAAGGGGCATTTGGACCACCATGACTATGTATGTTTCTTGCATAAGTTAAGGTAAGTAGGTCCCTGCACGCACACTCTTATAAATAGAGGAATGTGCAAAATCATACACAGGTCTATACTTTCACCAATCTGACCTAGGGACATGTACTACAGTATACAGGTTTCCAACTTCCATAACAATCTGCAGATATGGTCAATGCTCAAGCTTACCAAAAGCTCCATCCACAAAACCATGAATGTAGCCAACAATAAGAAATCTCTTCTGAAGCACGTCTCTTTGACAAACGCTGAAATAAGCAAGTAGTTGGTCATACAGGTCGGCATACAGTTTTCCTGGGCCTACCAGATATGGCATACTAAAAATTATTTTTTTTTTTTAAATAATACTATTTGCCAAGGATCTACCTATGAGGTTACTCACTAACTTGTAAGACGCAGTAAGTGTCTGAGCCCAAGAAAATCTTCCTCGAGCAGTGTTGTTCTACTGATTTGATTTAGTGTGGTGAAAACACAGTCTTATTATTTATAGGGTAACAACCTATTCTGTAGCACTGTGCAATTGGGTGAAAATAAACGTGCAACCTAATTAACTGAATACCAACCAATAATCTGTAATAAAATATATGGATAATGAAGCAACTTAAAGGGAGCTGCTAACCTTGGTTCTACAAGGCAAACCTTGCCTCTGCAGATGTTAGTAAAAAATGTTGTTCCACAAAGCTCAGCAAACCTTTGGGAAGCCATGGTTAATCGTTAGTCTCCCCAAAACTACAAATGGAAACCCACTTGAATTGTATGAAATTATTCACTTCGCTTCAAACTTTTTTACAATTCATGAAAAGTAAATGGTTAGAGAAATAAGCTCATTGGAGGATGGACCTCATTTATCTCTCGCTCCTATTAACATTTGCAAAGCGTTGTCTCATTTGCGGTTGTATCCCCACATTTATGCTGTAGAATTTGTCAGCGCTATACAAATGCCAAAAGTAGTAGTACAAATAATGCAACCCTGAAAATTGCATTTGCTTCTTACATGAAGCTAGCATCGAAGCTGCATCCTCCTCGGGGGGAGTCACAGGAAGCGCAATGTAAACAATTTTATCTCATGTAACTCTGCATTGACAAATCTGGTAGCCATTTGGCTAGGACAATATATAGATAAGTGTTCCACAAAATAGGACTATCACAGAGTGCCCTCTAAGAAACAAATGCCAATTCCATTGACGATTCCCTGGTTTTCCCCACAAGGTCACAGACTATGCACAAGAAAGCATGCACTAATTCACAGGGGAGTTAGTAGTGCCAGTCCCTGACAGAGGAGGGCAGTAAAATAAAACAGGATTATCCTGGCTTACTTACACCTGCACCTACCTTGCATCAGAGAGTGTTCTCTTGTAAGATGTGCCACTCAGGGACCATATCTAGATTTAGATCGAAAAAGAAAGCCTCTATGGATATTGCTTGAATCTCTCAGTTCAAACAATATGGTGAGCTTTATAAGATGCCCCCTCAAGTTTTCCCACAGTTTTAACATTCTTTTTCTTGTATGCATGAAAAACAAAAATGTCAAAAAGTAATGTTTTGTGAAATGCTAGAGCTTAAATAAAAAGAAAAATGCAAGACAAACTCAATTTTTTACAATTTTTAAAAAATATATATATTTCCATGCTGCAACACGAATACTAATTCTCAAATTACTGATTAATTTTGCTCATCCAACAAGAGCTACAATATCTAAAGCCCTGTATCCCAAGGTGTAATGATGATTAGAGGTTCTGCAGGAGCACACAAACAGCATTGTTACAACCTAGTGGCCAATGTATAGATATGCAGATACTGATAGTATCACTTCAGTCTCAGGATTGTTAACTATTTCATTAGAAGAGGGCTGGTTAAGCTACACACCATTCTAGCAGTCATGGCTAAGCACAGGTGCCCATAACAGTCAGTTGTAGCAAGCAATTGTTCTTCAGATGCAAACTCCCAGCCTGTTTTGCACGCTCTGTTTGTTACATGGGGCCAACTGGGAGGACCCAGGTGCAGGATGCTGTATGCACACCGCAGCTGGAGAGCTGATTATAGGGGCGAGAAGGGACTTATAAAGCAGCCATAGACCCTGTGAATCCTCTCATCAGCAATCCTGTCACACAAGCCCTAGAGGAGCTAAGCAAACTGAAAACTAACAAACAACTCTTACCTTTCCTAACACTGTCACTGTAGCAACATTAACCCCTTGCAGCCATGAGGGAAGAACTGGAAGAAGGGGAGTTCACAGCTTACAGTCCTCTTTTTTTTCCCACACCTCTTGAAATTATTTTGCTAGCATAAATGGGCAGGTGTACGTCTGCATGGGTAACTTATTAAGAAAATTATTTGAAAAAATTAAATACATAATTGATGAATAATAGATGAAAAGGGGAGTAGTAGTAACTACTACGTCCAAAGGAAAAAATATATATTTCATCATCCTCAGAATTAAGAGCAGCTAACAACGTGAGGTTTTAAAAGGGTTGCCATGCTTGTCACGGTAATAGCTTAAACTGCCAGTACTAGCACACAAGGGGTTAAAATGCACAGCAAAAAGAGCACTGGGTTAACAGGGCCTACAATAGTTGCATATATAAAGAATGCTTTCTAGCAGAGTGTGCAAATATCCTGGCGCAATGGCCATACTGCTCTCCTAACTGTAAATGTTATAAAAGATCAAAGTTGCATCTCTAGGAAATGGTTGCCATGTTGTATGGAGCTGAATGTGTTAAACCGTCTTACAGCTGGTTGGAGTGGCTCAGACAAGGCTCGTAATAAGCTTTGTGTCTCCAGCTGATTATCTTCAAACCCCTTCCATCTTCATTTGCCCACTTCACTCCAAACAGGGGAGGGAAGCACATCATCCACAGAGCATTGACCAAGCACAGAGCATTGCAGACGATGACAGTAGTTAGTTGTATGAAATGGGACTCTCACCGCGACCTTTTGCCACTACTCCTTATTACATGTGGATGAAGGTCATTTAACGTGCTAAGCCAAAGTAAAGGTTTCCATATTGTTAAATCCACAGCATTATCTCCCTTTTATATTAAGGCACATGCTAAAGGAATATATTATGTGAGGCAAGCAGCAGAGCCTTAGACGTTTTAAACGGAGCTCTCTATCTGTAATACAGACTCAGAGACCATGGCATTGAGCTGGGAGAATATATGCTCCCTAAGCCACAAGGGTGCATATGTGCAAGCCTTCGAGCAACAGGATTTATTTATCTCCTTTAGTAAGGATGTAGACAAAGCACTACAGCTCACTCAAAAATTATTAAAAATAAAACAAAAACATTTACCCCTACCCCCACCCCTCTAATAACTATTATTGAGTGCTGCAGGTTGGGTTTATCAGATATTTGTTGTGTTTTACGCATTATAGAAAACAATTGCCTTGAATGTACATACGCTGACTTTCCTGCAGGTATAGAAATTTAAATTAGGAAATGGCTGAAACCTCGCAGCCAATCATGTTCTCCAACAGATTGTTATTGGGAGCTACAAGCATAAAATCCATTTATCAGCAAACAGTGCTGCCCACGATATATCATTCAGAAAAACAAACAAAAAACAAAACAAAAAACACTCGCTCAACTGAATGGAAACTGCTTAAAACCAATTCACATCTCATTTTGTTTTGAAAATAAATGTCACATGAGGCTGTGTCTCAACATTTCCTGCTACCTTGTTTCTTGGAAGAGGAAGACCAGCTATTTTTTTGATTTTAGATTTTTTTAAACCTTGCATCATGAAATAAGGCTTTTTATGCGGTTATGTCAGATGCATTAGTACATGGAGTGTCCCTGCAATAGTTAAAGGGACACTTTTTCTTTCAGTTTTACTTTCTTTATGCTGATTGCATCTTAAAGCATTTTGTAAATAAAAATGAATGGTCCAACTAAAAGACATCCATAAATATGAACTACATTACACAATTCACATACAAGCATTAAACCTCCAGGCAAAATGTCAGCAGACATCTACCATTCATTAGCCAATCTTACGTTTTGAGGTTTCACTTTTCAGTGATTTAAAATAAAAGCTCTGCGTTCAACAGCAAGAAGCCAGACAAACACAGTGCTAGAGCATCAGCCAGTTTCACCCATCAGCATCTTCAGCCTGGCGTGGTCCTGTGCTACGTAGACTAGGGGAGGAGACAAGGAGGCGGTTTTACTACAAACTAGGGGAGTAGAGCCAATGTGAAGAGAAAAAAAAAATCCCATTTCCATCATAACACAATGCCACGTGCTTGTAATCACATCTACTCCGAACAGAGAAAGCCTGCTCAGAACTGCGATCCTAAATCCTATACAATAGACCAGTTATATTAACAGTTTGCATTCTTTTAAATGTATTGCTTGTTCCCTTGTAACCTTTTCGCAGACAAAGGCATTGGGCTGACTAAATTTAAACCAACAAAAATCCAAATAACAAAACAAACATAATAATACATAAAATAATGGAATACTACAGAAGCAGTGTAGATAGTTTCATTATACAGCAAATTACCACTTTAATAAAACTTGTTCAATTAATTTTATAATATAAAACACGCAAAACTGCCCAAGATACCGTATCCCCAGATGAAATAGGAAACAGCTATTTCTAGGCTAACTCACTAAACACTTAATAAACATTATAAAAGTTTAGCTTTACAAGTCTTTCCAGCTCAGCTATGTGTGACCTTACCTATATATTGAAAAAAGCTAGCGTAGGAATACAAAATAACTGCTTACTGGCATACTGTATATGTTCTACACCAAGAGTACCCAAAACGTAGAGCCACGGATGCTTTAAAACTACAGGAGTTGTAGTTCTACAATATCTGGGGGATCTACCTTTTGGGTTCCCCTTGTCCACACTATCTAGCATTTGTAACAGTTTCTGTTACATGCTTACTTTTACCACCATAATAATTCTGAAACACTGCAACAGACAATTAACAGCAAGTCAAGAGAAGCATTGGCTGAGAGTGCTGGGCTACCTGTGAATGGGTGGGGGAGGGGAGCGGTAAAGCACTACACTGAAAGAGTTAAAAGCAAAAAAAAAAAAATGCCCTTGCCAATATTAAAGGATGTGTAATATGTTGTAATTGTACATTTGTACAGTGTATAGCAGTGTTCCCCAGGTTACTGGGGGTGAAATTAGTTAATATTCCACAATGCATTGCAGGGACCTTCCTTTGTACGTTACCTGACTTAAGACATGCATTAACACTACAAACAGAATGTTACATTGTCCTGTTAAGTGACAAGCTGTTATATTCACACCACACAGCACTATTCAGGACAATACACATCCTGCTTTAGCTAGGGGCAAAGATGTCCCCCACCACCACAACCCCAATGGCCTTATGCATCTACATGTAAGCTAAACAGAGGGGAATGCATAAAGATCTCAGATGTTGCATTAATCACATATAGTGGAGTGAAAAAAAATACATATTTTGTGACTCACAATTTTCATTACATTTAAAAACAAGAGTTGCTATACAACTGCCATAAATAAAAATGTCTAAAAAGCTCCAATAAATAAAGTTGACCCTAAAACAGATTGAATGTCTTATTTAATGCCCTATTATTAAAAACGATTTGGCGGATATTGGAGAATACGCAACAGGAATTGTCTATGAGTTGTGGTACATGTTTGGAATTAATGTCATTAGATACAAAGCAAAATGTCACTACAAAAACAAAATTTGACACTTAACAGTCATGTCATCAAGGAATCACATTCCAGCCCCTTAGATTTATGACAGTTCTTCACATAACTGATGGTACTATAAACACTGAGTGATATGGGATATATTCCTAAACTTTTCAGTTCCAGTCCACTGTGATAAACACAGAAGCAGAGAACTAAAGAAAACAAAAGCCAACAGGCACGTGGCGTTAGATACACTATATTGAGAGAGAGCTCTATAATTAACACATACTGCTTGCTAATCAGCTATGAAAGGGTTAGTCCAAATCTGCCTCTAGCACAAACCCAGTGGAGTCACATTGTCCTCCTGCTAGATGCCTGCAGCCTCTGGAAGACACAAAGTCGCCAGAACAAAACAAACACAGGGGTTTCCCCAGCTCCTGAGACCCCATCACCCCACCCCCTCTCCCCTCCACCAACTATCTGCAAGGCCTACAACAAAACCTTTTCTATTACATCCACCAGATTGCATCCCAATAGAGAGCCACAGGAGGGACAAGGATATTTCATTAACCCCTTTCTAACATGTTTAACCCTTGAGAACTGTATGGGACAACTTTCGGAGAAGACATTTGACTGATGGGGATAACTCCGGGAATCTATTGCTCCTAAAAAAAATATTAGCAATTAGGTACTAAACTTTATATCTAAATAGCTCATACAATACTCAAGTGATATACCCCAAACCTGGCTGCCCAAAAAAACTATTTAAAAGCCTGTTTTGTTAATAAATATCTGTCTGGTTCTTAAATACTACAAATATTTGTCAGTCGCTGCTTTTAGTGCCAGAGGAGGTTTAACTGTTACCCCACCTCCCCTCTTTATAAGCGTTGCCCTCCTGCCAGCTACCCATCTGTGTCACCCTCCTTGTAGGCTATACCACAACAAAGCAAAAAGCCCACCATACAGTAAGTGACATCTATTCAACGACTGCTTAATAACATAGCCCATTCGAATTAACTATTTTATTTTTCAATTAATCGTCAACCCCTTTCTTTTCACTAAGGTGGTTGAAAACCTTGTGGGAATCAATGCATTTTTAAAATGTATTTAATTGGCATCCTGAACAGCAAAAAATTAAAGGAGTATAACAGTTTGACAATTGATTGGTTTCACCTTTGGCACTCATGGATATATGTATATACATTATACACAATGTAGGTACACAGATTCAGGCAGAATATTTAAGAATGTAAATGATTGTTTTCACTATCTGCATGAAATGTTAACACCTAGGACATGAAAACAGTCCTTTAAAAAAAAGTCTGATTTGTGCAAAAATAGAGTATCATTATGTAGCACAGATAATATGAGTCTAAGAAGTTTCTATCTGTAAAGGCTGCCATTCTGCATTCAGGATACCATGCAACAACAGATTAACATGTGAACTTTTATAACAATACAACATCAAGTCTGCACAAATAGTTTGGTCTGTTTAAGTCCCAGGTAGTAATTTTAGGAATAGGGTACATTTTATTAAAAAGTCCTCAATACAGGGCACATGTAGCTAAAAGTTCAAGCACACATTCGTTAAGTTAAATCTGTTTGATTAATACGTTTTGGAATAATCACATTGTAAACATACAGAATATTTGTCTCAATAAATCCCCATGCATTTCTTGAAATCCTTAAATTTGATTAGGACAAATAAAAGTAGTAGTTCATCTAACAAATACACAGACCTATTACTAGTTACCTGGCATATCATTACCAGGCTCTGCTTTTCCAACAGAAGGTACTAACGTTTAACAAATGACAACAACACTTAACATAAAGCCAAAATATGCAATGGAGTAGTACAAAACCAAGACGATGGATTTCTAAACAGTGCATGGATTAATTGGTAAATTAAGGGGGCGTTTAAGAATTGGAAATGTTTGAAGTTTAGCTGTTTTTGTAATTTAATAGGATTTGGGTGCTGGCTTGGGGAATCTTGAAAACATTTACACATTATCCATTCAGAGTACTTGCTCATCCCAAATTCAAAATGAAACATGGTAGAAAAAAAAAAAAAAAACATATGAGAAGACAGAGGGATCGACTGGGTTTGCACTTATCTACATGATTTACTCTCCAAATAAATTAGGGGTTTCAAGTTTTGGTAGACAATTACCAATCACACACACGCAATAGGGGCAATGTGAGTTACTCCATAAAAACTGGTATTGTATCAGGCTAAAGGCCAAACCCAGGTGCTGACAGTGTGTGCAGACCGAGCCCTCACTAGGGAGTTTAAACTCGATCAGAAAAAAAGCCAAACTGGAAATATTCTCCAACTCACCCCTGGATCCAGCTAGGCTACTCTCGCCTTACATGTTAATACACAGAACAACTCTCCTTACTGTACTAACCCTGACTGAGAGAGTGCTGTATGGGGAAACCCCCTGAACCCACACAAGCCATTGATTTAAACATTCAGTACCATCCAGCCCCCTGTAGCAGCTCACCCTGTGCCAGCAGTGCCCTGTGTAACTACCCCGGGGGTGCTTGTTTGGGGCAGACGCTCCCATTTGCCCATTAACCCCGTGCAACCCACCCCCATGTTTATCTGCCCTTCCAGCTGCCCCCACCCCTTGTAGGGCAAACAAACTAACTCTGGTACAGTTTGGGGAAGGGCGACTGTTACCCCCAGTTACTTTCCCCAATGCCCCCAGCGGGGAGACATGCACCCCCTCACTCCCATCACTCCCCCGGTACCCCGATCCCCGGGAGACCCTTACCTCTATCTCGAAGTCGGGCAGCTGGAAGGCGGTGCGGAACAGGGAGCAGAAATGGGCGATGGCTGGCACCTGCCAACAAGAGCGGAGCTCCCCCAGGGCACCGTCTGGGGGCATCCCGAGGGCAGCACCCCGAGCCCGGTCAGCGTACAATGTGAGCACCGGCCGGGGAGGGAGCAGATGGAGAGGGGGAGGGGGCTGGAGGGGAGGGGAAGAGAAGGAGGGACTCACATTAAAACTACACCCCCTGAGGGGACCCTGCGGCTACTGCACTCACTCACTCACACTAACGCCCACTCTGGGAACCCTGCTGCACTCACTGAGCTCACACGAGATCAACACCTCAGTGAGCACTGATACTCCTATCACTGAGTGAGCACTGATACTACTCCTATCACTGAGTGAGCACTGATACTCCTATCACTGAGTGAGCACTGATACTACTATCACTGAGTGAGCACTGATACTACTCCTATCACTGAGTGAGCATTGATACTACATCTATCACTGAGTGAGCACTGATACTCCTATCACTGAGTGAGCACTGATACTCCTATCACTGAGTGAGCACTGATACTCCTATCACTGAGTGAGCACTGATACTACTCCTATCACTGAGTGAGCACTGATACTACTCCTATCACTGAGTGAGCACTGATACTACATCTATCACTGAGTGAGCACTGATACTCCTATCACTGAGTGAGCACTGATACTACTCCTATCACTGAGTGAGCACTGATACTACTCCTATCACTGAGTGAGGACTGATACTACATCTGTCACTGAGTGAGGACTGATACATCTATCACTGAGTGAGCACTTATACTACATCTATCACTGAGTGAGCACTGATACTACTATCACTGAGTGAGCACTTATACTACATGTATCACTGAGTGAGCACTGATACATCTGTCACTGAGCGAGCACTGATACTACATATATCACTGAGTGAGCACTGATACTACTCCTATCACTGAGTGAGCACTTATACTACATCTATCACTGAGTGAGCACTGATACTACATCTGTCACTGAGTGAGCACTTATACTACTATCACTGAGTGAGCACTGATACTACATCTATTACTGAGTGAGCACTGATACTACTCCTATTACTGAGTGAGCTCTGATACCACATCTATCACTCTGTGTGCACTGATACTACATCTATTACTGAGTGAGCACTGTACTACATCTGTCACTGAGTGAGCACTGATACTACATCTGTCACTGAGTGAGCACTTATACTACTCCTATCACTGAGGGAGCACTGATACTACATCTATCACTGAGTGAGCACTGATACTCCTATCACTGAGTGAGCACTGATACTCCTATCACTGAGTGAGCACTGATACTACTCCTATCACTGAGTGAGCACTGATACTACATCTGTTACTGAGTGAGCACTGATACTACATCTATTACTGAGTGAGCACTGATACTACTCCTATCACTGAGTGAGCACTTACACTACATCTGTCACTGAGTGAGCACTGATACTACATCTATCACTGAGTGAGCACTTATACTCCTATCACTGAGTGAGCACTGATACTACTCCTATAACTGAGTGAGCACTTATACTACATCTGTCACTGAGTGAACACTGATACTACTCCTATCACTGAGTGAGCACTGATACTACTCCTATCACTGAGTGAGCACTGATACTACTCCTATCACTGAGTGATCACTGATACTCCTATTACTGAGTGAGCACTGATACTCCTATTACTGAGTGAGCACTGATACTACATCTATCACCGAGTGAGCACTGATACTACATCTATCACCGAGTGAGCACTGATACTCCTATCACTGAGTGAGCACTGATACTCCTATCACTGAGTGAGCACTGATACTACACCTATCACTGAGTGATCACTGATACTCCTATTACTGAGTGAGCACTGATACTCCTATTACTGACTGAGCACTGATACTACATCTATCACTGAGTGAGCACTGATACTCCTATCACTGAGTGAGCACTGATACTACTCCTATCACTGAGTGAGCACTGATACTACTCCTATCACTGAGTGAGCACTGATACTACTCCTATCACTGAGTGAGCACTGATACTCCTATCACTGAGTGAGCACTGATACTCCTATCACTGAGTGAGCACTGATACTCCTATTACTGAGTGAGCGCTGATACTCCTATCACTGAGTGAGCACTGATACTCCTATCACTGAGTGAGCACTGATACTCTATTACTGAGTGAGCACTGATACTACATCTATCACTGAGTGAGCACTGATACTCCTATCACTGAGTGAGCACTGATACTACTCCTATCACTGAGTGAGCACTGATACTACTCCTATCACTGAGTGAGCACTGATACTACTCCTATCACTGAGTGCACTGATACTCCTATCACTGAGTGAGCACTGATACTCCTATCACTGAGTGAGCACTGATACTGATACTACTCCTATCACTGAGTGAGCACTTGATACTCCTATCACTGAGTGAGCACTGATACTCCTACTGAGTGAGCACTGATTACTACATCTATCACTGAGTGAGCAATGATACTCCTATCACTGAGTGAGCACTGATACTACTCCTATCACTGGCACTGATACTCCTATTACTGAGTGAGCACTGATACTCTGTCACTGAGTGAGCACTGATACTACTCCTATCACTGAGTGAGCACTGATACTCCTATCACTGAGTGAGCACTGATACTCCTATCACTGAGTGAGCGCTGATACTCCTATTACTGAGTGAGCGCTGATACTCCTATCACTGAGTGAGCACTGATACTCCTATTACTGAGTGAGCACTGATACTCCTATTACTGAGTGAGCACTGATACTACATCTATCACTGAGTGAGCACTGATACTCCTATCACTGAGTGATCACTGATACTCCTCCTATCACTGAGTGATCACTGATACTCCTATTACTGAGTGAGCACTGATACTCCTATTACTGAGTGAGCACTGATACTACATCTATCACTGAGTGAGCACTGATACTACATCTATCACTGAGTGAGCACTGATACTCCTATCACTGAGTGAGCACTGATACTACTCCTATCACTGAGTGAGCACTTATACTACATCTGTCACTGAGTGAGCACTGATACTCCTATCACTGAGTGAGCACTGATACTCCTATCACTGAGTGAGCACTGATACTACTCCTATCACTGAGTGAGCACTGATACTACATCTGTTACTGAGTGAGCACTGATACTACATCTATTACTGAGTGAGCACTGATACTACTCCTATCACTGAGTGAGCACTTACACTACATCTGTCACTGAGTGAGCACTTATACTACATCTGTCACTGAGTGAGCACTTATACTACATCTATCACTGAGTGAGCACTTATACTACATCTATCACTGAGTGAGCACTTATACTACATCTATCACTGAGTGAGCACTGATACTACTCCTATCACTATGAGTGAGCACTGATACTACTCTTATCACTGAGTGAGCACTGATACTACATCTATTACTGAGTGAGCACTGATACATCTGTCACTGAGTGAAGACTGATACTACATCTGTCACTGAGTGAGGACTGATACTACTCCTATCACTGAGTGAGCACTTATACTACTCCTATCACTGAGTGAGCACTGATACTACTCCTATTACTGAGTGAGCACTGATACTACATCTGTCACTGAGTGAGCACTTATACTACATCTATCACTGAGTGAGCACTGATACTACATCTATCACTGAGTGAGCACTTATACTAGATCTATCACGGAGTGAGCACTGATACTACTCCTATCACTGAGTGAGCACTGATACTACTCCTATCACTGAGTGAGCACTTATACTACATGTATCACTGAGTGAGCACTGATACATCTGTCACTGAGCGAGCACTGATATTACATCTATCACTGAGTGAGCACTGATACTACATATATCACTGAGTGAGCACTGATACTACTCCTATCACTGAGTGAGCACTTATACTACATCTATCACTGAGTGAGCACTGATACTACATCTGTCATTGAGTGAGCACTGATACTACATCTGTCACTGAGTGAGCACTGTACTACATCTGTCACTGAGTGAGCACTGATACTACATCTATTACTGAGTGAGCACTGATACTACTCCTATTACTGAGTGAGCTCTGATACCACATCTATCACTCTGTGTGCACTGATACTACATCTATTACTGAGTGAGCACTGTACTACATCTGTCACTGAGTGAGCACTGATACTACATCTGTCACTGAGTGAGCACTTATACTACTCCTATCACTGAGGGAGCACTGATACTACATCTATCACTGAGTGAGCACTGATACTCCTATCACTGAGTGAGCACTGATACTCCTATCACTGAGTGAGCACTGATACTACTCCTATCACTGAGTGAGCACTGATACTACTCCTATCACTGAGTGAGCACTTATACTACATCTATCACTGAGTGAGCACTGATACTACTATCACTGAGTGAGCACTTATACTACATGTATCACTGAGTGAGCACTGATACATCTGTCACTGAGCGAGCACTGATACTACATATATCACTGAGTGAGCACTGATACTACTCCTATCACTGAGTGATCACTGATACTCCTATTACTGAGTGAGCACTGATACTCCTATTACTGAGTGAGCACTGATACTACATCTATCACTGAGTGAGCACTGATACTACATCTATCACTGAGTGAGCACTGATACTCCTATCACTGAGTGAGCACTGATACTACTCCTATCACTGAGTGAGCACTTATACTACATCTGTCACTGAGTGAGCACTGATACTCCTATCACTGAGTGAGCACTGATACTCCTATCACTGAGTGAGCACTGATACTACTCCTATCACTGAGTGAGCACTTATACTACATGTATCACTGAGCGAGCACTGATATTACATTTATCACTGAGTGAGCACTGATACTACATATATCACTGAGTGAGCACTGATACTACTCCTATCACTGAGTGAGCACTTATACTACATCTATCACTGAGTGAGCACTGATACTACATCTGTCACTGAGTGAGCACTGATACTACATCAGTCACTGAGTGAGCACCTATACTACTCCTATCACTGAGTGAGCACTGATACTACTCTTATCACTGAGTGAGCACTGATACTACATCTATTACTGAGTGAGCTCTGATACCACATCTATCACTCAGTGTGCACTGATACTACATCTATTACTGAGTGAGGACTGATACTACATCTATCACTGAGTGAGCACTTATACTACTCCTATCACTGAGTGAGCACTGATACTACTCCTATTACTGAGTGAGCACTGATACTACATCTGTCACTGAGTGAGCACTTATACTACATCTATCACTGAGTGAGCACTGATACTACATCTATCACTGAGTGAGCACTTATACTACATCTATCACGGAGTGAGCACTGATACTACTCCTATCACTGAGTGAGCACTGATACTACTCCTATCACTGAGTGAGCACTTATACTACATGTATCACTGAGCGAGCACTGATATTACATTTATCACTGAGTGAGCACTGATACTACATATATCACTGAGTGAGCACTGATACTACTCCTATCACTGAGTGAGCACTTATACTACATCTATCACTGAGTGAGCACTGATACTACATCTGTCACTGAGTGAGCACTGATACTACATCAGTCACTGAGTGAGCACCTATACTACTCCTATCACTGAGTGAGCACTGATACTACATCTATTACTGAGTGAGCACTGATACTACTCCTATTACTGAGTGAGCTCTGATACCACATCTATCACTCAGTGTGCACTGATACTACATCTATTACTGAGTGAGCACTGTACTACATCTATCACTGAGTGAGCACTGACACTACTATTACTGAGTGAGCACTGATACTACTTCTGTCACTGAGTGAGCACTGATACTACTCCTATCACTGAGTGAGCACTGATACTACTCCTATCACTGAGTGAGCACTGATACTACATCTGTCACCGAGTGAGCACTGATACTACATCTATTACTGAGTGAGCACTGATACATCTATTACTGAGTGAGCACTAATGCTACATCTGTCACCGAGTGAGCACTTATACTCCTATCACTGAGTGAGCACTGATACAACTCCTATCACTGAGTGAGCACTTATACTACATCTGTCACTGAGTGAGCACTTATACTACATCTGTCACTGAGTGAGCACTGATACTACATCTATCACTGAGTGAGCACTTATACTCCTATCACTGAGTGAGCACTGATACTACTCCTATCACTGAGTGAGCACTTATACTACATCTGTCACTGAGTGAGCACTGATACTACATCTGTCACTGAGTGAGCACTTATACTACATCTGTCACTGAGTGAGCACTGATACTACTCCTATCACTGAGTGAACACTTATACTACATCTGTCACTGAGTGAGCACTTATACTACATCTGTCACTGAGTGAGCACTGATGCTACATCTATTACTGAGTGATCACTGATACTACATCTATTACTGAGTTAGCACTGATACTACTCCTATTATTGAGTGAGCTCTGATACCACATCTATCACTCAGTGTGCACTGATACTACATCTATTACTGAGTGAGCACTGTACTACATCTATCACTGAGTGAGCACTGATACTACTATTACTGAGTGAGCACTGATACTACTTCTATCACTGAGTGAGCACTGATACTACATCTATCACTGAGTGTGCACTGATACTACATCTATTACTGAGTGAGCACTGATACATCTATCACTGAGTGAGCACTGATACTACATCTATCACTGAGTGCGCACTGATACTACATCTGTCACTGAGTGAGCACTGATACTACATCTATTACTGAGTGAGCCCTGATACTACTACTATAACTGAGCTCACACTACACACTGAGTGAGCCCTGATACTACACCTATCACTCAGCTCACACTACTCACTGAGTGAGCCCTGATACTACTCCTATCACTAAGTCCTGATACTTCACATATCACTTAGCTCACACTACACATTGAGCGAGCTGTGATACACCTATTAATGTGGTCACACTGCACACTGAGTGAGCCCTGACACTACTCATATCAGAGTGAGCCTTGATACTACTCCTGTCACAAGGCTAACACTGCACACTGAGTGAGCCCTCATACAACACCTTTTACTGAGCTCACACTCACAATGAGTAAGCCCTCATTCTACACCAACTCATGAGCTCACACTGCATTCTGAGATACATCTTGATACTACACCTTTTACTGAGCTCACACTACACACCAAGTGAGCACTGATACTACACCTATCGCTGATTTAACACTGCTTACTGAGTGAGCCCTGATGCTACTTCTGTCACTGAGCTCACACTCACATTACACACTGAGTGAGCCCTGATACTACTCCTATCAATGAGCTCACACTATACACTGAGTGAGCTTTGATGCACCTATCACTGAGCTCACCCTGCACTCTGAGTGAGCCATATTACTATATTTATCAAAGAGCTCACACCGCACACTTTGTGCGCCCTGATACTATTCTTATAACTGATCTCATACTACAAACTAAGTGAGCCCTGATACTACTGCTATAACTAAGCTCACACTCCACACTGAGTGAGCCTTGATACTACACATATCACTGAACTCAAACTCACACTGCACATTTAGTAAGTGCTTATACTACAGCTATCATTGAGCTCACACTACACACTGAGTGAGCCCTGATACTACACCTATCACTGAGCTCACACTCACCTATCGCTGAGCTCACACTACACACTGAGTAAGCCCTGATACTACACCTATCACTGAGCTCACACTGCACATTGAGTGAGTCCTTTTCTAAAATTAGAATATGGGTAGAGGAGTCATTATCAGACTGGAGCAATTTAAATGGAGTCCAAGAAAAATGGGATTATGTAAAAGTTGCACTATTGAAGGCAACAGAAAATTGCATTAGGCTTGTCAGTAAAAGCAAAAAATTCAAGAAACCACTGTGGTACTCCGCAGATGTGGCCAAAATAGTTAAAAACAAAAAGTTAGCATTTAGGAATTATAAAAAAACCCAGAGTGAGGAAGACAAAATTATCTATAAGATTAGGCAGAAAGAGGCTAAGCAAGTTATAAGAGCTTCCAAATCACACACAGAAGAGAAAATAGCACAGTCAGTAAAAAAGGGGGATAAAACATTTTTTAGATACATAAATAAGAAAAGTAAAAACAAGCATTAGTTAGATTAAAAACAAAAGAAGGAAGGTATGTAGAAGAGGATAAAGGTCAGGCTGACTGCCTCAATGAATATTTTTGTTCTGTATTTACAGAAGAAAATTAAGGAAAGGGACCTCAGTTGAGCAAAAGGATAAATGAGTCATTTATTACACGTGAGTTTACAGAGGAAGAGGTTCTATTTCAACTGTCAAAAGTAAAGACAAATAAGTCAATGGGACCTGATGGAATACACCCAAAGCTATTAAAAGAGCTTAGTGGTGTACTACCAAAACCATTAACAGATTTATTTAACCAATCATTGTTAACAGGAGTAGTTCCAGAAGATTGGAAGTTAGCGAATGTTATGCCCATTTACAAGAAAGGTAATAGGGAGGAGTCGGGCAACTATAGGCCAGTAAGCCTTACTTCAGTAGTGGGGAAAGTGATGGAAACCATGTTAAAGGATAGGATTGATGAACATCTAAAAACACATGGATATCAAGATCAGAGACAACATGGGTTTACTTCAGGGAGATCATGCCAAACTAATCTTATTGATTTTTTTGATTGGGTAACTAAAATTATAGATCAGGGTGGTGCAGTAGACATTGCTTACCTAGATTTCAGTAAGGCTTTTGACACTGTTGCACATAGAAGGCTTATCAATAAACTGCAATCTTTAAGTTTGGATTCCAATATTGTTGAATGGGCAAGGCAGTGGCTGAGTGACAGGCAACAGAGGGTTGTAGTTAATGGAATATATTGAAGCTTGGACTTGTCACCAGTGGGGTACCTCAGGGATCTGTACTTGGACCCATTCTCTTTAATATTTTTATTAGTGATATTGCAGAAGGTCTTGATGGTAAGGTATGTCTTTTTGCTGATGATACTAAGATATGTAACAGGGTTGATGTTCCAGGAGGGATAAGCCAAATGACAAATGATTTAGGTAAACTAGAAAAATGGTCAGAATTGTGGCAACTGACATTTAATGTGGATAAGTGCAAGATAATGCATCTTGGACGTAAAAAACCCAAGGGCAGAGTACAGAATATTTGATAGAATTCTAAAGTCAACATATGAGGAAAGGGATTTAGGGGTGATTATTTCTGGTGACTTAAAGGTAGGCAGACAATGTAATAGAGCAGCAGGAAATGCTAGCAGAATGCTTGGTTGTATTGGGAGAGGTATTAGCAGTAGAAAGAGGGAAGTGCTCATGCCATTGTACAGAACACTGGTGAGACCTCACTTGGAGTATTGTACACAGTACTGGAGACCGTATCTTCAGAAGGATATTGATACCTTAGAGAGGGTTCAGAGAAGGGCTACTAAACTGGTTCATGGATTGCGAGATAAAACTTACCAGGAAAGGTTAAAGGATCTTAACATGTATAGCTTGGAGGAAAGACGAGACAGGGGGGATATGATAGAAACATTTAAATATATAAAGGGAATCAACACAGTAAAGGAGGAGACTATATTTAAAAGAAGAAAAACTACCACAACAAGAGGACATAGTCTTAAATTAGAGGGACAAAGGTTTAAAAATAATATCAGGAAGTATTACTTTACTGAGAGGGTAGTGGATGCATGGAATAGCCTTCCAGCTGAAGTGGTAGAGGTTAACACAGTAAAGGAGTTTAAGCATGCGTGGGATAGGCATAAGGCTATCCTAACTATAAGATAAGGCCAGGGACTAATGAAAGTATTTGGAAAATTGGGCAGACTAGATGGGCCGAATGGTTCTTATCTGCCGTCACATTCTATGTTTCTATGTCCTGATACTACTCCTATCACTGAGTGAGCACTGAAACTACTCCTATTTACTGAGGTCACACTCACACGCTGAGTGAGCCTTGATACTACTATCACTGAGTGAGCCCTGATACCACACCTATCACTGGGCTTATACTCACACTGAGTGAGCCCTGATACTACACCTATCACTGAGCTTATACTCACACTGAGGATACTACACCTATCATTGGGCTCATACCCACACTACACACCGAGTGAGCCGTGATACTACACCTATCACTGATCTCACACTGCACCCTGAGTGAGCCCTGATAGTACAGCTATCACTAAGCTCACACTGCTTACTGAGTGAGCTCTCATACTATTCTTATCACTGAGCTCACACTCACACTGCACACTGAGTGAGTCCTGATACTACTCCTATTACTGAATGAGCCCTGATACTACACCTATCATTGTGCTCACACACACACTACACACTGAGTGAGTCCTGATATTACACCTATAACTGAGCTCACACTACACACTAAGTGAGTCCTGATAACACACGTTTCACTGAGCTCACACTGTGTCTTGATACTTCACCTATCACTGAGCTCACACTCCACACCAAGTGAGTCATGCTACTACACCTATCATTGAGCTCACACTCACACTGAGTGAGCCCTCATACTACACTTTTTACTGAGCTCACACTCACAATGTGAAACCCTGATACTACACCTATCACTGAACTCACACTGAGTGAGCCCTGAAACTACTCCTATCACTGAGTGAGTACTGATACTACAATTATTACTGATCACACACTACACACTGAGTTAGCCCTGATATTACTGCTATAACTTAGCTTACACTCCACACTGAGTGAGCTGTAATACACCTATTAATGAGCTCACACTGCACACTGAGTCCTGATACACCTATCACTGAGCTCACACTCACAGTACACACTGAGTGAGTCCTGATACTACACCTATCCCTTGAGCTCACACTACACACTGAGTGAATCCTGATATACCTATCACTGAACTCACACTGCACACTGAGAGAATCCTGATACTACTCCTATTACTGAGCTCACACTCACACTATATACTGAGTTAGTACTGATAGTTACTACACCTATTATTGAGCTCCCACTCACATTTCACACTGGGTGAGTCCGGATACTACACCTATCACTGAGCTAACGCTAACACTACACACTGAGTGAGCCATGATACTACACCTATCACTGAGCTCACACTCACACTGCACACCGAGTGAACCCTGATATTACACCTATCACTGAGCTCACACTGAGTGATACTTAATGTGGGAGGCATATTCAATCACTAACTTAGCTAACATTACACCCAGTGAATGGCCTGCTGCACTGATTCATACACATGTAAATTCACACTAATCTACTGTAATCTTACATCTCCTGAGGAAGTCCTTTAGAAGCAACATTCACTTCCCAGAGGGAAACTCACACTGGCACACCGCTACACAAGATTCTGAAGGGATTCTCAAAGCTCACACTAACACAAATCAATATCTTACTAGTGCTGTTCTCATGCTAAGACAGTACTGGACCCTAAGGGACCACTGTAGAGGAAAAATGTATCACAGACAACACACTCCTCTGATAAGCACCAATGCCCCACACTAACACATCACTATGCCTTCATAGGGAACACTGCAGTTGTGTTCACTCAATGATCTCTCAGTGATGTAGAAAACGACTACATCACAGGTTAATTCCCCAAACCGAGAACTGACAAGAAAATTGTATGTTTTATGATAAAATTATTAAAATTGTAAAGTTCTCCAGTTTACCTTGTTAAATCTTCACAATCACATTTTAAGTGGTTTGGACCACAATAAGATTCCATAAAAATCTAGGTCTGCTATCACTGAAACTGTCAACTGCATTTCTAAATGAACCAGGCTTGATTATCAACAATCACACAAACCAGTATTCAGTAGTAATATTTCTGATAACCTGGTTATATTTGGACTTACCAATGTTTTAACCCTTAAGGACACATGACATGTGTGACATGTCATGATTCCCTTTTATTCCAGAAGTTTGGTCCTTAAGGGGTTAAACTGTTGTTGATTATTAAGATTTTTATAAGGTAGCGGTCCCCTGGAAATTATAAAACAAAAAGTAAAAACATGTTTCATTTCTCTTTTTCTTTTGAGGGGGGAAAGAACATGCTTGAATTTATATGTTTTGTTGAACTTTCATTTGAAGTACATCTTTAATTACACAAAACTTGTAAAAGTTTTAATAGCACCTAACCTGACTCCTCTAATCAACTAGTATGATCTCACACCAAAGCCCTTGCAATGACCTCACTCTTTCCCTCCCACTTACATCCTCCAGGATAGTATGAGGTGACTCACTGTGACTAGTCAGCTACCTATTAACTCTGTCATGTCTGTAGCCAGTGGTGGCCAACAGGTAGTTTCATATGAACTACATCTCTTATGGCTATTTGCCAGCGTATAGACTGGTAAAAACATTGTGGAAATCATTTGCATGTGCAGCACCTAACATTAGAGTGCGTACCCAGAGAAAAGTTCCATCTAAACTTTACTTTAAAAATTCTAATTTAAAAAAAAAGAGGTCCAATATACACATCTTTGCTCTAATGATAACAAGGTGTATAAAGAGTTTTTCTTCTTCTTCTTCAAAAAAAGTAAAAATAGAAAGCTAACCTAAACTCACACAAACTGCCCAGCGAGACATAAATGAGACAAAGGAAGGACAATTTGGCCCTGCATTAGACTGTGACTAGGTACATCTCGCACACCCCATGCGAATGCCTATGGTAGGAGTTCTCTATAAGCATATAGACATGCACAGCATCATGGGAAACATCTGGAAGGCAGCTATTGGCTAGTACTGACCAAATGCGCATTAAGTGATCTAATTTTATCATTTGCCCACAAAAAGGTGGTTTTAAAATAATGGTTAAAGGAAAACTACAGTGCCAGGAAAACAAACTCGTTTTCCTGACACTGTAGCTTCCCCTTCGGTCAAGGCCCCCTCCCGTGGTGCAGAAGGGGTTAGTAACCCCTTCTGCCACTTACCTGGGTCCATCGCTGGCTGGCTCAGCTCCACCAATGCTCCTCCCCCGCCAACGTCAGCCAGCGTGGGAGACCTAATGCACATGTGTAGCAATGGCCGCGCTCGCATTAGGATTTCCCCATAGGAAAGCTTTCCTGTGGGGATTCCAGACACGCAGGAAGTCCTCATGCATAGTGTGAGGACGTCCAGCGTTGTTCAGACTACCAAAAGTCGCTTATCCATCCAGAAGTCCCTGTAGTGGCTGTCTGGTAGACAGCCACTGGAGGAGGAGTTAACCCTAGCATAAAAACCTATGTTTGTAAAAACTGCAATAATTACCACTCTAGGGTTAAGGGTGATGGGAGATGGCAACCAGACCACTTCAATGGGCTGAAGTGGTCTGGGTGCCTACAGTGTCCCTTTTATAATATGCAGCATATCCTATAAAACTGTATATATGGTTTTGTAAACCAATTTGCCCAACAAAAGAGAGTACAGACATGGCAGACATGGTGGTTGCAAGAAAGCAAGTTAGACATAATGCCTTGAAGGTTTCCAGTATATATATATATATATATATATATACACACACACACACACACACCCCTCGTGAAATGTCACAGAACTGTATTAGAAAATATCTGTAAAATGACACAATGAGAACACTGTGCTAGCCTGTGATATTCATACTTACTCCTTATTACACCATCAGTCTCTAGGATTTACTTTATGTACGGAGTCTTTACTCCAAACTTTAATATCTAGGGAAGTATATAAAGCACACATTCTGTCCAATGAGCTGTTGTGTGTATATAGTTTATTGTCATTAACTATACATTGTAACCATCTCTGCATAAAATCACACTGCACACTGCAGCAATTTAAATATGTATAAAGACGTCAGACGAACCTACCATGATACTGAGCTAAGGAGCTCCATTACAAAGACAAGGGAGTGCTAGTACAAAAGTAAATGTTAAAAAGTATGAATGTAGCAAGAGGGTGCACACTATCCAATAGGCATGTGCATGGGGGAAATTTTCGGTTTGGTTCGGCATTCCGAAATTCTGGACTTCGGCAATTCGGCCTGTGGCTGCTCGCTGTTAAAAAAAAAAAAAAAATACCAATAAGGGGTGGGGGGACCTAACGTCCTCCCCCTGGCCTCCACCCCTTAGCGGCGGGTGGGGGCCCTAAAGTAAAATGATGGGGTGACCTAATGTCCTCCCCCCGGCCCCCACCCCTGAGCGGTGGATGGGGGCCCTAAATACTAATAAGGGGGGGACCTAATGGGTTTGGGGCCCCTAGTCACCTGGGGGGTAGGTAACATTTTTATTTAGGGCCCCCATCCGTCGCTCAGTGGTGGGGGCCAGGGGGGAGGACAATAGGCCTTCCTATTTAGGGCCCCCACCCGCCGCTCAGGGGCGGGGGCCAGGGGGGAGGACATTAGATTAGCATTTAGGGCCTCCACCCATCGTTCAGGGGTGGGGGTCAGTGGGGAGGACATAAGGTCCCCCCCCTTATTCTAATTTATGGCCCCCACCCACAGTTCAGAGGTGGGAGCCGGGGGAGGACATTAGGTCCCCCCCTTATTCTAATTTAGGGCCCCCACCCACCGCTCAGGGGTGGGGGCCAGGGGGGAGGACATTAGGTCCCCCCTTATTAGTATTTAGGGCCCCCACCCACCGCTCAGGGGTGGGGGCCATGAGGGAGGACATTAGGTCCCCCACCTTATTAGTATTTAGGGCCCCCACCCACCGCTCAGGGGTGGGAGCCAGGGGGGAGGACATTAGGTCCCTCCCTTATTACTATTTAGGGCCCCCACCCAGCGATCAGGGGTGGGGGCCTGGGGGGAGGACATTAGGTCCCCCCTTATTAGTATTTAGGGCCCTCACCCACCGCTCAGGGGTGAGGGTTGGGGGGGAGGGCAAAAAGTCCCCCCCCCCATCATTTTGCTTTAGCGCCCCCATTTGCCGCTCAGGGGGCAGGACATCAGGTCCCCCCCCTTGTTAGTATTTAGGGCCCTCACCCACCACTCAGGGGTGGGGGTGAGGACATTAGGTCCCCCCTTATTTTACTGTAGAGCCCCCACCCGCCGTTCAGGGGTGGGGGCCGGGGGGGGCAATAGTTCCTCCCCTTCAGGTTAGAAGCCCCCCACTCGCGCGGCACAGGTGGGGGCTCGGGGGGGGATTTTTTTTTTTTTTAAAGGCTGCTCACTGTTTAATAGACATGCCCCTACTCGCAGTATAGCGAGTAGGGGCATAATTTACTAATACTAAGTAATCTTTACTTAAATTTAGGTCTTTCAGCCTTTTAGTAGATAGCTCCCTAATACCGTGGGAATTAGAGAGTTATCTACTTATTCATTCCTGTCATTACATGACTGGCTAAGTAACTTACATTTTATATGAAAGTGTGCTACTTGATTGTTGTAAGTGATGCAAATGCTTACAGCTGAATCCTGGCTATGTTTGTATATTTTTTATTTAAAAACTCTGAACTCTGTTGTAAATTCCATTTACTAGATCGCGGAATGAGTAGACTAGTTAAATTCTGTTGTAAATTTAGTTCACTAGATCTCGAAGTGTGGAGCTATTTGATTAACTGAACTCCAGTTCACTGAACTCCAGCTCTGTTTAGTTTAGAACATAGTCTCCAAAAATACTGTTTAGTTAAACCCTGATGTGTATATATATTGTTTAGCTAAATTCTGACCTATAAAGTTAGCATTTGGCGACCTTTTGATAGTGGTTTGCAGACCATTGAAGCGTATTGTTTAGCTAGATTCTGGTGTAAATATTGTCTAGCTAAGCTCCGGTTTATAATGTGTATGTTTTGCAAAATTTTGATGTATATGCTGTTTAGAGATCTTTTGAAGTTTAGATAAGTGTTTAATTACGCATGACACCATAACTACTGACACCATAACCACTGACACTATAACCTCTGACATCATAACCACTGGCACCATAACCACTAATACCATAACCACTGACACCATAACCACTGACTAATGATACAGGGTTGTAGTAATATTGGGCGATCGGGTGGTTTAGACATTGATTAACTGTATAGATAGTTGTATAGCTTTTAGTGGATTTTGACTTTGTTCTATATGTATTAGACGTCATTATTATTGTGAAACGTATGAGGACCCTGTGTGTGTGTGTGTGTACGTGTGTGTTCTGGCCTGGTAACCGCACCACATGGTGTTATTGATAAGGAGCTTTGAATCAGACTCTCCGTTGAAATCATGGGTGCGTCTGATTCAAAGTGTGTTGATCCTTTGTCTTGATGCTGATGCTGTTTGTGATTATGGTGTAAGTGTAACATTGTCCCCAAAAGGGTTTAATACTCTGTGTAACAGAGTATGGTCTGTTCTGGCAGCCAAATGGCCTCCACGTGGCAGTCTTGATCCAGATCTATTGCAGCAAGTCTATACAGTCATAACTAATAGGCCGGGACTTTATGATGAGTTTCCGTATATAGATAGTTGGAAACAGATTGCTGAATAACAGCCTAAATGGATCAAGCTGTGCCACAAGGAACAATGTAGCCTCATGGTTGCTAGAACTCGCCTGTCCACTAAGGCCTTAACTCCACCTATTTTGGACACTCCCCCTGAAAATGACCTCCCCTTACCGCTCCTTTACTTCTCCTTCCGAGCTAGATATGGTGCAGCTGGTGTTTCCACTCCCCCTGCTCCATTGTCCCTGCCTACCCACACCTATCTCAGATGCCAGTCCTCTTGCTTTAAGCCCTCCTATTTCTGTACCTACGCACACTAGTTCTTTGTATCCTGAATTGGCGCCCTTTTTAGTTAATGGACAGGCTCCTTCTAGCCTTGTCCGAGATATTGCATTAAATAAATTACCTACCGACATGATAAACTTACCTTCTTCTACCCTTCTGACAACTCCCCAACTGGAACACATCATTAAAACACATCACTCTATTATTATTATTATTATGATATTTATAGAGTGCCGTCAAATTCCGCAGCGCTTTACAATCGGTTCACGAACAGACATGTAGTTGTAACCAGACCAAGTTGGACACACAGGAACAGAGGGGTTGAGGGCCCTGCTCAATGAGCTTACATGCTAGAGGGAGTGGGGTAAAATGACACAAAAAGGTAAGGATAGTATTAGACTAGTGACAGTTGCAGAAGAGGAATCAGTCAGGAGCTATTAACAGTTTAATTGATACGCTTTTATGAAGAAGTGGGTTTTTAACGATTTTTTGAAGGAGTGGAGACTGGGTGAGCATCTAACGGAGGAGGGAAGCGAGTTCCACAGGAACGGTGCAGCCCTCGAGAAATCTTGAAGGCGAGCATCAGAGGTGGGAGTACGGACAGAAGATAGACTTCAGCAGATTGTAAGGGCCTAGACAGGACATACTTGTGTATAAGGGAGGATAGATAGGTGGGAGCAGCATTATGTAGAGATTTGAAAGCAAGAACCCGAATTTTAAATTGAGCTCTATATTTTATAGGAAGCCAATGTAGGGACTGACAGAAGGGTGAGGCATGGGAGGTGCGGGAGGACAGGAAGATGAGCCTATAAATGTCCGCAGTCCCATTTTAACATGTATAACGTCTGGTACCCTCCAACACCGGCACTTACAGATGCCTCTCCGACTTACTCCTGGTCCAACACACATTGATGACAATAGTCAGTTGCAAATGTGAGACCCTGTATTTGTATATGTACCCTTTACTACAACCAACTTATATAATTGGAAAACCCATAACCCCTCATACACAGAAAAAACACAAGCTATGACTGATTTGGTGACATCAATCATAGAAACCCACAACCCTACTTGGGTTGATTGTCAACAGTTACTATTAACTCTATTTAATTCTGAGGAAAGGACCCGTATTAACCAAGCAGCCATTAAGGCTCTTGAGGAGACTGCCCGTACCCAAAACCAAGCAAATCCAGCGGCTTGGGCTATTGCCCATTTCCCCAATACGGATCCTAACTGGAATATAAATGGTGCTGATATGGTTCATTTAAAAGCTTACCAACAAGCTTACCAATTATTACAGGCATGAAAGCAGGTGGGAAAAGGGCTATAAATATGTATAGAGCAGCTGAAGTTTTACAAAAAAACTGATGAATTTCCCAGTGCCTATTATAAGAGCATGCTTGAATCATACAGACTTTGTACCCCTTTTAATCCCGAAGCCCCTGAAAATTCTTGAATGATTAATTTGGCATTCGTCAGCCAGGCCAGAAGTGACATTAAAAGGAAATTGCAAAAGTTAGAGGGATTTGCAGGGTTGTCCATAACACAGCTAATAGAAGTCGTACACAGGGTTTATATGAATAGGGAAGCTGAAACGAAGCGTGAGAAACGCAGGATGAAAGTAGATATGCTAGCAGTAGCTATTACAGGTGTGGGTAGACAAGGAGGAGAGATAGAAAGGGGAGGTGAGAATAGGACAGGCTACCAGGACAGGACAGGACAGGACTGGCCAGGATAGGACTGACAGGCTACCATTAGGCAGAAATCAGTGTGCGTATTGCAGAGAGGAAGGGCATTGGAAAAGTGACTGTCCACAGAGGGGATATAAAGCAAGTTTTAGACGAGGAGAAAAGGGACAAGGTGGCTATAGACGAAGAGGAAGTCTTGCAGGGAATGACAGTAGGAACAGAGGATATGTCCCCTACTCAGAGACCAAGGGATAGGGACAATAGGGACTTTGTGGGTCTGGCTGTTACAGTCATGGAGGACTATTGATACAGACCGGGCATTCTCCTTGGCCGAGCGGAGCCTATGGTCGAAGTAACACTAGAAGGAAAGAAAGAAATGTCCCTTCATGATTGATACGCGTGCTGAACACTCTGTGACCAAATTAGTAGCCCCTCCCTCTGGAAAGACTGTTACTATAATAGGAGCTACTGGGAAAGAATGTATGCTTACTAATGCAAGGAGCCTATATAACAAAATGGGGGAACTGGAGGCAATAGCATACACTAAACAATATGATATAATAGGCATAACAGAAACATGGTGGGATGAGACACATGACTGGGCAGTTAACTTAAATGGGTACACGTTATTTAGGAAGGATAGGAAGAACAAGAAGGGTGGTGGGGTATGTTTGTATGTCAACCATGAGTTAAAGTCAAATCTTAGGCATGTGGAGTGTGACAAGGAAAATGTGGAAGCTTTATGGGTAGATATCTGCTTGGTGCAAATGAAGGGGAATCAGTTATTGGTTGGGATATGTTAAAAATAAACCACCTAATGTAAATATTAATGAGGAAGAACAGCCGTTAGAGCAAATTGGGGTAACACGTTGTAGCAGAACCCCTTTGGCTGTCCAATACATTCCCTTTATAATATTATTGTTGGAACCTAAAAGTTTTTCCTGTGCCTGGATTATACAGATTTTCATATAACTATATGTGGCCATACTAAGATTTATCAAGTAAAAAGATGTACAAGTCTGCATGTGAACTGCTGTATTCACCATCTGAACTAAAGTACCGAACAACTGGACCACCCTGGTGTGAAGTGAGGCTATAATTTACCTCCCTGTATGCTCGCTCCATTCCCCTTGTTAAAACACACAAACGCTCTGCTGTATTCCCTGGTTTACCGCCACTTCGGCAGCCGGACACGTGGCGGCGGCCATCTTAAACTCACGAACAGCGGTGTTTGGTCGTCGAGTGTCTGGAACTCAGATTGGACACTCGACTAACCGAACACCGCTAAGACCTCCAGGACTTCAGAAAGTGCCGATTGAAACACATGAACGGCCCGTCGTTCGGTAGGATGAATCCCACGAACCAGGGGATTCATCCGAATGCGAACTCAACCCTAGATGGCATAGACTTTCAGGACTTTTGATGCACGAACAGAGACCGACCGCAGGGCCAAAACTCATGGAACTATTTTCGGCTACTTTGCCCGTGCGGTCGGTCAAATCTTTGCTTCCTCATAACTCCCGAACCCCTGGTCGGATCTGGGTGATTTTTAAATATGTTTCTCACCCAGATCTAAAGGTGTACCTACCATATTTGGGGTACATCCAAGAATTGGGGAAAAGTATGCACATTATAATTATGTTAACTGTTAAGCTAAGGGGAGGAGATGTGTGGGAGGTAACGTCTACGTAATTGGTTACTATAGTAATTATGGTGGGCACCTCCCTTGCATGGGAGAATCACATAAAAGCAGGAATTGTGTCATTAAATCTCAGTTCTACTCCTGATACTGTGTGTCGTCCAGTTATTGGGAAAGGTGATGGGATATTATTGGATCGCCTTGCTGATTGTGCTTGTTACCCTATTGGATTTACTACTTGTTCCTGAATTATTCTAATACACCAGTGGAGTTAAGGTGTTGGAAATCAGCTCTCCGCTACACACGTTAATTATTGGAGATTTTCATTACCCAGACATAAATTGGGAGAGAGTGATTAGTACTTCAGCAAGGGGAATCACGTTTTTGAATGTGTTAAATTACACCATTATGTCACAACTGGTACAAGCACCAACTAGAAGGGATGCTTGTCTGGATCTCGTTATAACAAACAATATTGATTTTTTGACCAACATTCAAGTAGAGGAGCATTTGGGAAATAGTGATCACATTATGTTAAGTGGGGAAATAAGTGAACCTCTGTATTTCATTTTTCAAGATTCTTTTGTTTCAGGTATTGTACCGGAGGATTGGAGGAAGTCTTTTCTATATTTAAAAAGGGTTAAAAATCCTTGCCTGGAAATTATAGATCTGTGAGCTTAACTTCTGTGACTGGGAAAATATTTGAAGGGCTTTTAAGGGATAATATTCAGGAATTCATTGGGAAGAACTTTTTTTATTAGCAATAATCAGCATGATTTTATGAAACATAGGTTATGTCAAACTAACCTAATTGCGTTCTACAAAGAAATAAGTAGAAGTAAAGATCAGGGTGTTGCAGTGGATGTGATCTACTTAGATTTTGCCAAGGCATTTGATATGGTTCCTCAGAATAGGTTAGTCTTCAAACTAAAAGAAATTGGTCTAGATGATTATTCTTGTTCTTGAGTAGAACATTGGCTTAAAGGACCACTATAGGCACCCAGACCACTTCAGCTTAATGAAGTGGCCTGTGTGCAAGGTCCAGCTAGGGTTAACCATTTTTTTAATAAACATAGCAGTTTCAGAGGCTGGATTAACCTGCTATGTTTATGTTAGGGTTAATCCAGCCTCTAGTGGCAGTCTCTTGACAGCCGCTAGAGGCGCTTGCGTGCTTCTCACTGTGAAAATCATTGTAAATGCTTTCCTAAACAAAGGGATTTAACTCATAAATGGCAGAGGATTGAGCAGTGAGGCTGCAGGGGAATGTTCTATACACCAAAACTGCCTCATTAAGCTAAAGTTGTTCAGTATAGATGTCGCGAACCATTCGTGAACTTCCCGCGAATGGCTCGCCACGGTTCGCCAAGAACCGTTCGCGGCGAGCTCTGGTCAGCTGACACATCCCGGCCAATCTCCAGCAGACCCTCCCTCCCAGACCCTCCCACCTCCTGGACAGCTGCCTTCAACATGGATGCTGTCCAGGAGGTGGGAGGGTCTGGGAGGGAGGGTCTGCTGGAGATCGGCCAGGATGTGTCAGCTGACCGGAGCTCGCCGCGAAGTGCGGCGAGCCGTTCGCGGGAAGTTCGCGAACGGTTCGCGACATCACTATTGTTCAGGTGACTATAGTGTCCCTTTAATGGTATTTTCAGTCTGGACAAAAGTGGTAAGTGGTGTCCCTCAGGGTTCTGTTTTGGGGCCGCTTCTATTTAACATATTTATAAATTTATCTTGAAATAGGCATTGAAAGCCATGTTTCAGTGTTTGCAGATGACACACAACTTTGTAAAGTAATAAAATGTGAGCAGGATATTGCTTTGCTGCAGAGGGATTTGAATAGATTGGGGGACTGGGCACTAAAATAGCAGATGAAATTTAACGTAGAGAAATGCAAAGTTATGCATTTAGGGGTCAAGAATGCACTAGCAACTTACACCCTAAATGGTAGTGAATTAGGGATAACTACACACGAGAAGGATTTGGGAACTGTTATAGACAACAAATTCGGCAGCAATATGCAATGTCAATCTGCAGAGGGGATATGATAACATTATACAAATATATTCAGGGCCAGTACAAACCATTATCTGGAAATCTATTCATAAACCGGTCTATGCATAGGATTTTCTAAATGTAATTTTCATATTTAGTCTTCTATATCCTTTCTAGTTGTTTGTACAGGAGTGTAAAGGGTCCCTCTCTTTCTGCAACCATGTGCAATAGAACAAAAAAATAATTCTCCTTAAAAAATTGTGGAA